GCTAAGCACAATACAACTTTTAAATTTTGTGACCTCAAAGGACTTTTCAAAGAAGCACTAGAATTAATAACAGCGCAAAAATGGGAAAACTGTATTAAGCACGTGAAAGACAAAGTTGAAAAGAGAATGTGGGAACTGGACAATATTTTAGAGGAACAAGTCGAGCCATTCATTATTGACGTTGGTGCTTCAGGCAGTAGCGATGATGAAAGCTCATCAAGCTCATCTTTCCAATAAAAGATGTCGTTCATCAAATTCGGTAAGTTATAAGTAATTATAAAGCTACTATATTTTTTAATTGATTATTGACATTTTTGAACCCATTTTGGCAAAACCTATTCAAGAATCTACTTTCTGACAATGTTCAACCATGCACATTTTTTTACGTTTTGAACGTTTTAATTTGGTTACATATTTACCTAGAAATCAAAAAATATACTAATCAATATTCTAAAAGCAATTTTAAGAGATATACGATTATTTTTAATTTAGGCTAATTTAAACGCCATTTTGAGATTATATTCGACTGTATTTCACCAAACATCAGGCGGCATCCGAAGCTGGAAATCGAAGCGAAAATTTTGAAACCCTTATGTATATTTACATCATTATATATTTCTTACCCCACCCCCACATGATCCTATATCCATCACCAATCGTATACACATCGAATTGTGCTAATTTACTACAAAGTTACGCAAAGCAGCATCTACTATCTAAAATATGTACTGCGTGACTCTTAATACGTCCCTGCCGAATGTTACAGCGTTCGATGATCACGTGGTCTTGTTTATGTCCGGTCTATCTCTTATCTGAATATACCGTAGTAGTGTACCTGTGACCTTTTTTTGTGTTACGTGGTTATTTATCTTAAAACAGCTACTATCTTATACTATTACAACTCCCATAGAACTCATCTATTGTATAAGGCTCTGACTGTACTAGAAATTGCTTAATAGTCTTTTTAAATTTATGTAAACTGTTTATGTTTTTAATTTCATTTGGTAGATTGTTAAAAATTTTTGTATGTGTGCCCCAAAAAATAATCCCATACTTTAGAAAACTTTCAAAATTAGCATGGTACAATATTTTCATACTCGTATTATTTAGATATCTTGATATCACCCTAAAACCATGGCAAATGGAATTGAGCGCCTTCAGCAGTTCGAATACATGTGTTGTCCAATCTAAAAATTCATCAATATAGATGCCTAAGAATTTTACACTTTCACTCAACTGCAGTTGATGATCATCTATATCGATATATTGTTTATTAACGACTTTACTCTGCTTAGTTCTAAATAATGTTGCATCAATTTTGGATTTATTCAGCACTAGTTTGTTCTCAGAAAACCATGTATTCACACTTCTAAATAAGAGATTCCCATTAGCAGTTAGGTCCTCTACACTTGTCCCACCCAACACTAAATTTGTGTCATCAGCATAGCAGATAATTTTATGCTTGCTCTGATCACCACTAGTAACAAAACAGAGATCGTTTAGAAAAACTACAAACAAAATGGGCCCAAGTATACTACCCTGTGCTTTGCCGGTTGAAGTCAACTCAATGTTTGACTTGTAAGTTTGACCTCCTTTAACAATTTCAACCCTCGGTTGTCTATTATAGAGGTATGACTTGAACAATTCTAGCGCAGTTCCTCTTACACCATATCTTTGTAGCTTTAATAACAATATGTCTCTGTTGATGCAATCATTATTAGCTCTTTTGCGCAGACTTGTGTGGCTGTTACTTCAGCCTGAAATATTGTTGCAATATTGTCTAGACTTATAGAGATCTCAGTTTTTGGCCTTGCCCCATAAATCCCGGCTTCAGCTTCATCTTCAGTTTTCGAACCTTCCGTGTACCAGTAGCTTTTAGCATGTATAAGGAGGCCCCTTCTCCCATGCCTTCCTTTCTGGTACTATTGTTTGATGGTTCGAAATTGTACGCTGGAACAGTTGTGTGCCCGGGCATTACAGTTTTTGATGGTCTTAATAAATGTGTGTAATGGTGGTAGGTCGAGAAGGACCTCCAACGCTGCAGTGGGAGCGGTATAAATGGCCACCGTGGCGCTCAAGCAAGGTAGCCTTTGTACGCCACTTAATAGCATCACCGCTCCCGACTGTGTAGTCTTTGTCCACCATGTCACTGATTCATAGGTTATCATGCATCTCGTCGCCCTTGTGTATAACCGCATGATCATTTTTGAGTTTAACCCCCAATTTCTGCCGCTCATCTGTCTACACCTTCCTAGAGCTATTGTAGCTTTGTGTGCTGTTCTGTTGATGTGAGAGTTCCACGTTAATCTTTGGTCAAAGATGGCTCCAAGATATTTTGTCTCGCCTGAAATAGGGGATCTCTACACCATGCAGGGTTAGTAGCGTGAGGCCTTCTAGAACCCGCCTTCATGTGAAAGTGGCGACGGTTGTCTTGTGCGGATTTAAAGCTAAGCTTTTCATCCTGCACCACCTGTCGACAATATTAGCAGTATCACTCAGATAAAATGTGTACAGTAGAAATTAAATAATTGTTGAAATAGAATATCATCATACCAGACATACTGGAGGTGTAGTGATTTATGTTTACCACAAAATACAGATCACATTATTCGATTGTACCACTTTAGACTATGCATACTGGTATGCAAATATACAGTTCAAATTATTTGGGAAACGTTATGATCTTTGTACTTTTTACCGTTCACCAAACAGTGATGCGGATACATTTTTAACGTTTTTTGAAGAAAAATGCGAAGAAACAATATAATACTTTTAGGTGATTTTAATTTGAATTATTATGGTAAAAGCATGAAAACAAGAAAATTGGAAGAAACCATAAATAACTATGGGTTCAAGCAAAAAATTGAAGAGAGTACCAGAATAACATCATTATCAGAGACTTTGTTAGATCTTGTTATTGTAAATTTCCAATATGCAGGGATTAAAGCTGTTGTACATACACCTAAAGTTAGTGATCACAGTTGGACAATGCTGCTCTTGGTTGGGCATTTTTCTGATACAAAAATTAAGAAAATCGTAAATACTATTAAGTACGAAAAACTTGAACGAGAACTTGCTGGCTGCTATTGGAATTTTGGTGAGAATATGGAAAAAATATATGACAACATAAAAGGAAATATAAAAATTTGTTTAGATCTTGCAACTGATGAAAAAGTGATTTGCTCGACAAAAAATACACCCTGGTATAACAAGAATATTAAGGCAGCTCAAAATTTGAGAGACAAACAATACAATAAATGTATATTCACAAAATCAAATGATGATTGGGAGGTATATAAAACTCTTAGGAATAAATGTGTATATGTAATTAGAGAAGAAAAAAGGAAATTTTACGATAAACAAATCGATAATAACAAGTGCGACACTGTAAAGATGTGGAAGACTTTAAAAAGACTGATCAATTCGAAGTCGCATGATTCTGTAAATCAAGTTCAATTCGAAAACGGTACCGAAACAAATTCTTTGGTGATTGCAAACAAACTAAATGAATATTTTGTGGAAAGTTTTGTTGATGTTGTGGGTACTGCCAATGCTGCACCTAACTATATGAAAATCAGTTTCCAGGGGGAAATGTTGCATACACTTTTAAAATTTTACAGCGTATCATTGAATTATCTAAGAAAAAAGTAAACAGTTTAAAATCAAATAACAACTGTGCCGAAATCGCTACTAAAAACGTGCCCAGTTCCCAAAATAAAAAATTCTAAAATATGCAGCGATATGAGACCAGTAAATGTGTTACCAGACATTGAAAAATTATTAGAGTCCATAGTGCATGACCAATTAATGCAGTTTATAGAAGAAAACAAAATTTTAGTGGAGGCGCAAGCAGGCTTTCGAAAAAAATATTCCACAGAAACGGCTTTCCAGTTGGTAACTGAGAATTGGAGAAGAGCCATACACTCAGAAGAAGTGGTCATAGCAGTATTTTTGGATTTGAAGAGGGCATTTGAAACGATTGATAGAGATATTTTGTTAGGTAAATTGAAGGCATATGGTATAACAGGAAATGTTTTAGATTGGTTTAGAAATTATTTGTCTAAAAGGATGCAAGTTACAAAAGTTAATGACACTATTTCATCGAAAATGGAAAATACGTTGGGTGTTCCACAGGGCAGTATCCTGGGACCACTTCTTTTTATTTTATACATAAATGATTTACCTGCCATAGTCAAAAAATGCAAAATTCAGATTTTCGCCGATGACACTATGATTTATATAAGTACTAAAAATATTCAGTCTGGTATCAATTATATAAATGAAGACTTGAAACTTGTCTCAAAATGGTTAGCATCTAACAGACTAAAATTAAATGCAAGTAAAACGAAAGCCTTGTTAATCGGAAAAAAACAACGTTCAACTGAATATTGATGGTGAAGATATTGAATTCGTAGAAAATTTTAAATACCTGGGGGTTTTTGTTGACTCTCGATTAATTTTTGCTATTCATTATGAAAAAGTTATAAATAAGATTAGTAGTAAAGTGGGATATTTATCGAGAGTTTCTGGATGTCTGAGTTCATATAGCAGAAAAATTATCTATAATACCATCATTCTTCCAAATTTCTTGTACGGTTCGACTATTCTATATTTAGCAAATAATTCCATTTTTGAAAGACTGCAAATTTTACAAAATAAGTGCATGAGAATAATACTAAATAAAGATAAATATATTCCAATTAGGCAAATGCTTAGCAAATTAAAATAGCTCAATGTAAAAAATTTTATCAAATATCTTGTAATCGTTTATAAAGTAAAAAATAATATATTTCCATCAAGTCTAACTAATTTAACATCATTAAATGTCGACCATCATTTACATAATACCAGAAATAAAGATGACTTCCATTTAATGACCAAAAAGTATAACATATGCTACAAATCTGTATTCCATCAAGGGTTGATTGAATATAATAAATTATACTCAGAGATAAAAGACCAGAAAACTTTGACAAAATTTAAAGTAAATTTGAGAAATCACTTGTTAAATCTACAATTATAGGTTGCCCAACATTTACATCATACACCATATGGCTTGAATTTACTAGTTCTAAGTTGTTTACAATTATTCTGTTTATGTAGCCAAATGTGCTAAATAAATCTTTCTACTACTACTACTTAATAGCTAGATTTCTAATGAGTCAAGGTTTATAAGTTTCCTAAAAGTCATACTGTTTTACCATATATTTCTCAAGAATACATAACAATAACATGCAACAAAATTATTTTTTGATTTTTTTACTCTTATTTGCAAACTTGCTTTTGTTTTTTCTTTTCTTGAAAACTTCTTTGTCTTTACCAAACTGTGTTTTACTTGATTTGCCGAAAGATCTGTTATATCCTTTGACCCATCTGTTCCTCTGTTCTTCCCAAGCCAATTGTTTTGTATCTGAAAAAAGGTCTGATTATTCATTTAACCCAGATGGGTTTATGGAAGTTTTATTTTCACTGATGCCAGGAGTTATTTTTCACATTAACACCACTTAGGTGTGAAAAAATGTCAACGTGAAATGGTGTTTAAAAATTTCGTTGCATTCTAAATCCGAAAAGGTCACAAAGTTTACCTGCATTGTCCATATTTGCAAATGCATTTGAGCCACCAGGCTTCACTTTGGAACTACCCTCATCTTCCAACAATGTAGCAAATTCTTCTGCTGATGCAAACAATGAAGATGTGTCTCCTTTTCGTTTCGACTTTGGTGACTTAGTTACCATTTCATCATCTTCATCACTCTCCTCGTCAAAGTCATCTAATTCCGAAGCTAAAACAATTGTTACAATGTTACAAAATGAAATGTTTTCATAATTGTAGAAACCTTACCATCTTCCATATCATCAAAATCTTCTTCTAATTCTTGGTCTGAAATTTCACTTTCATTATCGTCTTTGTCAGATTCACTTTCATCGTCCATTTGTTTACCTATATGAATGAAAAGTTCAAATTTAACCGAAAATAAAAACTTCCATTCAATACATACCCTTATCTTTTTTGTTATATTTCAAGGTATCTCCTATTTCATCTAGATAGTCAATTTCATCCTCTCTTTCTTTGACACCAGACATTTGATTCAGCATTTCTTCAAATTCCTCACTTTGAACGGATTCCACATCACTTTCATCTTCATCCATGGCCTTTTCCTTATACCTCCTTTTCAAAAATCTACAAAATCAAAGGTGGACTAAATAATTGTAGTTGATGCAATTTCGAAAATCCAGTTATTAAAAATAAGTGGTGCAACAAAAGTAACGGGCAGCTGTGTGTTTTTCCAGGTTAAGGTGTCCCTTTTTTTCGCTTTTTTTTCAATTATCTGTTTGCAGCAGTATTCTAAATTCTTTTCATCTGATTATTTCATGGTATGTACAGAGATAACTAAAAAACAATGCTATCAATCAAAGCTTCAATCGTTACTTGTTAACAAATATAACAGCTCTGAAATTGTAGGTGATATTCCACTTTTATAGACGAATGAAACAGGTGATTACTTTTAATCACTTTTTCTCTTAAAAAAAATCTTTAATTTTCTTGAAACCTCATTTTGCAGCAAATTGGGTTGAAGAAAAAATGCATCAAAATTCACAAACAGTTTTGACAAAAAAGAAACTGATAACATTGTTTATTGAAAAGGTCGTCAGGTTCTGAAGCAGATTTGACCTTGAGCCTCACATTCAAGGCTATTTTAAGGTCAACTTTTGTTTTTTCAAAGGAAAAATCATTTTGAAACCAGCTATCAAAAATTTTACGTCGGAATATGTATTAAAATCAATGATTGAGATCGCCTCTAAAGGTCAAATGTGCGAAGCTGAGGAAAATTCCAAAAGGTTTAGCAGGATTATTGATGAAAAGATCAAGGCCATTCCTCGATTAACTTTCAATAATAATATTATTTGTTACAACGGGATGCACCCGATCACAGGAGCAATACAATTAGAGCTGATATAGCAAAGACGTCAGACATATGTATATGGGGTATAAAACGCAATAAGGTAAACAAAAAAGAAGACGAGCGTTGAAGATGGTTACACAGTTACTATACAAAACACTGATATGGAGTGTAGAATTTAGCAAAACATTATATATGGTTACATAGTCGCCCTATAAAAGACAAATAAGGAAAATAGATAAGTACCAATTACAGAACAGTTTAAAAATCACCCAGCAATTCACACCTCAACGTCCCAACACAGCATAACTACGTCTAAGACATACCAGTACTTCCTGGCCAGTGTGACGTTAGAAATAAAACAAAATTTCAAAGACCCAACCTTGATTTTTTTCAAAAACACCTTACCAGAAAAAATACAGAACCGTTACTTTTTTACCCCGGTATATGCCTTTGCGCGATAGTAAAGTGGACAATCCAAACTTACGTGTACAAAAACAGCTCCTCTACAGGGATATTCTTTGAGTCCTCATTGACATACTCTGAAGAATTTACAGGCAACAATTTTACGCCCTTAGGTCTACATAGCTTCCTTTTGGAGAAAGTTGGATCCTTTCCAAACTTCTCATCAATCTGCTTCGGATTCTTGAAAACGAATCTTTCCAAAAATCGGATCAGCGTGAAATCGTCCAGAGGGTCACCACTATAACTGACTGTTTTTCCGCCTATGATATTCTTCGCAAACAGCGATACAGTCGGATGGAAGTGCTCTCTCAACGCTGTCAATTCTGTAAAGCAACAAAATTCCCCACCGCAGTATAAAGGGTTTCTAGCTGTGGGGTCGAAGGTCTTATGGTATTTTTCTGCCTTGACTTTCGAGGTTTCGCAGTTTCCTTGTTTCAAGGACTTTTCTAGAGTTTCAACATCCGGTTTCACATCATCTTCGTCCTTTACTTCTACAACCCCATTTATCTCTAGACTATTTGTTTCATTTGTAGTTTTGTTGTTGATAGATTTTTCATTAGCATCAGTATCCTATAATATGTAATAATAAGTGGCGTTAGGTAGGTTGACTCTGCACTTTCCACGCGGCGTCGCCGTGCATGAAGGATTATGTTCCGCACAAGCTATCTGTCTGAGGAACAGGTCAATCAAGGAGGTCCGCGCACTTAGTCCATAGATATTCTACCGATAGTCAATCTGGCAACGTCGCCTCTCCCTAATACCTAACCCGCAGGGGTATTACGTAACATGTGACATTATGCTGATTTTGTTGACATGTCGGTTTCCCTACAAGACCTCAACTTGGAACTAGCTATCGTTCACTTGATGCTCACTTGTAGCAAGCAAGAATTGAACTATTTTCACGCTCTCCTACTTAGTCAACAAGTTGCCATTTTATCGTTTTTTTGCTGGCATATATGTTTTTTACGTAATAACCTTGCCGGTCACCAGCCAGATGCGGAAGTAATACCAGGACAGAAGGTTGGGAGCGTTTAAATATACAGGGTGGAGCATACGTAATGAACCGGTTTGTCAAACTAATTGGTTATTCTGTGGTGGGAGTAGAAAGTGCCGAGGGGTGCCATTGTGGATGTTTTCAATTGACACCACGATTTGGACACGTGAGCATCGCGATTTCGCTGTGCGTACGTTTTGTGAAAATGGCCACCCCGCCATCGCGACGCAGAGAGCCATTCGCGTACATTTCAACATTCCGCGTAATGTTACGTCCCCTTGCGGTAAGACAATTAGAAGCTGGGCCCGTACATTAGAAGAAACTGGATCTACTACAAAACCTAAGGCAACTGCAAGACGCAGCTCTGTCACAAAGATAATGTGATGGCTGTGAGGGCAGTTGAATTGTCACCAAGGCGCTCTGCTCGGAGGCATGCTGTTTTTGGATATGTTTGCTTGCTCTTTAAGAAGAATTCTGCATGAAGAACTGTCATGCCATCCCTATAAGATCATGGTTGTTCAAGAACTGATGCCTGATGATTACATCAACCGTGTAAATCGTTGTCAAGAAATGCTTGAATGAATCCCCAAAACACCAACTTTTTCCAGCAGCGACGAGGCCCACTGTCACCTCTCTGGGGCTGTCAATAAGCAGAATTTTCGGTACTTCGAAACTGGGCTGACAGTAACCCAAGGCAACTTCATGAGAGACCTCTTCACTCACCTAAAGTAACTGTGGTGTGCGATGTCACAATTTGGGATCATTGGACCATATTCTTTTGAGAAGAATGGTCGAACAGTAACTGTTATAGCTGATCGCTATGTTTCAATGCTGCAAAGCTTTTTTGAGCCACAATTGCAACATTTGAGTGACAAAATGAGAATGAAATTGAGACAAATGTTTCCTGGTCGACTCGAGTCTTTGAGAGGTGACTTGAGATGGTCAGCGCGCCAGATTTAAGCATGTGCGACTTTTTTCTGTGGGGTCATTAAAAGGAGAAAGTTTTTGAAGATCGCCCTTAAGATGAGCCGAATTGTTGAGCAAATATCCACCATACCCCCAGAAATGTGTAGAAAAGTAGCTCAAAACTTCAGAACTACATCAGAGTATTGCTTCTGATGGCCACCATCTTGCTGAAATTGTGTTCAAAATTAAATGAAAAAAATGGGATTACATACAAATTATAATGAAAAAGTTTTAAGCCTGTAAGTTATTCAGTTTTTCTTTGATACCTCTTCTAAACCGGGTCATCACTTCTGCCCCACCTTGTACTAATATCAAAAAATTGAGATATACCCTCCCCACCACACTACCCGCCACCACCAAATCTTTTGCCCCTACATTTTTTTCTTAAGATTATCAGGATCCTCTGAAAAGACAAAAATCAAAGTTTGATCGATTGTTACACTTTTCGTCCCTCATGTAGTAGTAACCTTGTGTGAAAACGTCATCCAAATCCAAGTAGTACTTTTCAAGTTATAAGCAGTCCAAGGATTAGCATCTAGACCGACAGACATGCCGCCGGAAATGAATGACAGTTTTTCGTGGAGTAAATTTAATGTCATATAACATTCACAAAAAATATCTCATTTTCGAAATTTTTTGGGTTGGAGTACTTTCTCTCCAGTATGGCGTGGAAAGTAAAATTGTGAAACTTCCGTGTAGATTTTGATAAAGTTACAGACCTCAATTATCTCATCAGGTTCTTCTTTGACCTCAATAGTGTCCTCTTTAGCAAAGTATTTTTCATCTGCGTCAAATAATGAAAATGCTGAAGATGCCTCCAGGGTTAATGTGAGTAGTCCAGGTTTTTTGCCAACCAATTGAGATACTAGATATAATATTCCACAAGCAAAATCTGCTTGTACGTATAGGGATACCTGCAAATGACAATCATCGAATGATATTGGAAACTTCATAGAGTCTATAAAAAAAATATTGCTTCACCTGTAACAGCCTTTTGACGAAAGCCTTAATTCGGTTCACTTGATTGTCTTTCAACAGTGCTTTGTACAATAAACTCAAGAACATTGCCTTATGTGTTGTTATTAACAAACTAGGATCGAGTAATTTCTTATACAAGGCATTATAAAATCTGAAACAAATATAATAAATTAACACGGAAATTCGTAAAAGTTATACATTATATTTTTTGATATAATCCGATAATAAAAGGTACCTAGAAACTTCGCAGCTTTCAAAATCACACACTTGGTACAGCAGAATAAGTGCTTGCAAGCTTGTGGTGAACTGTGCTAGGTGTACCAATCTATACATTGTTTCTATATGCTCAGAGATTTTAGAAATGTCTACTTTTGCATATGGATATGCTCTATTAAGTCCCATCAGTAGAGCTGACATCATTCTGCTGTCAATATCTCCCTAGAATGCAACAATACAATATGCAAAGAGTTGAAATAAGCAAGCACAAGCTTGGCCAATCAGTCTAGCAGGTTATAAACCTTAACCCTTTGCAGCTTACTGGTCTTCCGGGATCACAAATTTATAGTCAATTTACTTTGTTCTTGTTGGTGTCCTGATGTTACCACGATAATTACTCGTCGCCAACAAAATAGATCAGCTGCGGCGGGAACAGCAGGTAAAGTAGTACACACTCTATGGAAACATTCAACTTATGATGCGGGACTTTGTGTCAAGCACAAAGAAGGTTGTTTTGCCATATTCTATCATACAAGGTTATTTTGATGAATTCCCCCAAATGTTAATGGGTCGTTTTAACTTATCTGCTCACTCATTCATTTGTATATCGGTGTAATCTGAGTGTAATAGAAAAATAGAAGCCGGCTGAAGAGCGAAGGTCATCACCACATTGCCTAGCAATGGTGACGCAGAAGGTCCATACCAGAAAATGTTCGCACAGGCTGCTACAGTAGGTTAGGTTACTGTCAAATCCAAGAAGGTGGTCTGTTCAAACATTTCATTTGATATTTTGTTTTTATTTTGATTAGAATTATGAATTTCAATTTTGATTCGACTTGGTGTTTTAATTTACTTTAGAATTATCACCGATAGTGATAAAATCAGCACATCCCCAGGTAGTGTTACATTTTGCGTCTGCTGTTGTGGTATACACTAACTACACTATACACACTTCTCTCTCGTACACATTGATCTCAAGCTGTCAGAAAAAATTGTATACACAGTAGCGGAAACAAATAGTTTGGAAACAAATATTAACATTATTATGAACTATTTCATATACCTAAATTAAAAATATGAAGGAACAGGTAATATACATATTAAAGTCTGCCTTTGGCTCCAGTAATAGTACAAGGTTTATCTTATCAGTATCCAAATTTTATGTTTTTAATTTCATTTGGTAGATTGTTAGAAAATTTTAAACACATGTAAATAGGGCTTTGACTGTTCAAGTATCATAAACAGTTTGCATCTCAAGCTTAAATAAATTTTTATTTTTGAAAAAAATATAAGACACTCATACACATAGATGGCATACATAGTCATGATTTTTTCAGTTTTAAACACCCCACTGCAAGTTTCATTGAAATTTAGTCCCTTTAGCAGATGTACTGCTCTTTTTTGAACCACAAAATTTTTTTGAATAATCTCATACTTTAGAACACTTTCAAAATTAGCATGGTACAATATTTTCATACTCGTATTATTTAGATATCTTGATATTACCCTAAAACCATAGCAAATGAAATTGAACCTCTTCAGCAGTTCGAATTCATGTGTTGTCCAAACTAAAAATTCATGAATATAGATGCCTAAAAATTTTACACTTTCACTCAACTGCAGTTGATGATCATCTATATTGATACATTGTGGCTTAACGACTTTACTCTGCTTAGTTCTAAATAATGTTGCATCAGTTTTGGATTTATTCAGCACTAGTTTGTTCTCAGAAAACCATGTTGGTTTCATAGAAAGAAAATATTCTCCAGTGCTACAACAACATATAAATACAGTGTCTTAAGGCAAGGTATAGGATAAATCACTTAATTAGGCAGGCATCATCAAGCCAAATAAATAAACTATAAAATGATGACTGACTTAATGATAAAAAGATAAACCTGGCTGCAAATGGTTAAAAGCAGGATGTATTATGTGATACCTACCGTCTTGACACAGGATTTGAAAAAAGCAAAGTACACCTCAATTAACTTCTTGGCTACCTCCGACGTCTCATGGCTCAAGTGGTATTGAGAGAGAAAACAAAGACTGTAATATTGCGCTCTTTTTGAAATGTTTGCCCTAAATAAGAATTTCTCAATCTCATTGAGGACAACTTTCTGCATATTAGGATGCTTGTACAATAATTGTTGTAGGCAATAGATCACTTTGGATGCAATTTTTTGTGAGGGATCGCCTAATTTGTTCACTATGTGTGAAAGAAGATTCTGAAAATAAAATAAGTTGTTATATGCAGATCATTCAAAGCTTAGCTATTCGAACTAAAAAAATCATAGTAAATAACTTTCTGACACAATTCTTCAATTTAACTATTCGGGGTATATTTTATAGAGGTATTGAAACATGTAAAAGTGTAGAATCACTGTCTAAAAAAAAAGAAATATATTGACTTATTACATCCTAAAATTAGTTTCTACCTTTTCTTGTTCAGGATTTCCAGTCAAGAGTTTGTACATTGATGTTACAGCCTTATCCTTGTTACTTTCGACAGTATCATGACCTACTGAGTTCAGTGCAATTACAAAGCTGGTATAAATCTCCTTCAACTGATCTTCAAAGTACCAATATACCAAAAGCTTTCTCCTTTTACCACTAACTTCCGAAGACATCTCTTTCAATGCTGATAATGGTCTTTGATGGAAAGGTTTTAGTTTCCTTGTTGGTATCAATATATCTGATAAGAATAGTTCAACCAATGTTCCTGTAAATAATTAATTTTCCAATCTTGATTAATGCAATTTCTGCATACACATTTCTTTTGACTCCAACCGATCTAGTCAACTATGTATAGTTATTGGGATGTACTTAGAAAAAAGCTAAGAAGGTGAAGAGGGAAAATCATCTTAGTATTACCTGTAGGATGTGAAGCTTTAAATATGGATGGTAAATTCTAAATGTTCTTTGCATACAAATATAAGGTGGGAAGACATTTTTTATAATTACATTAAGGAAAATCAATGTTATGAAGAATTTTTCAGATATCAGCATAAAATAAACCTTAATTGTTGTTTTAAAAGTAAATCCTCATGGCTTTTAATATACGAATTGATTTTTTTACCTTTTTTCTCACAGATAGGCAGGAGTGGATACAAAGGATCAAGATAATTTGATACCACAAGCAAAAGAGAGATTTCTGATCATTAGCAACTTACCCATAGCAGCTATACACTCCTTCTTTTTTGAAACCTTTACCAGCCCAATGAGATTTCTCAAAGTCTCTAAATTGCACATAGGATTTTCTTGAATCAGTAATGTGTGTGCAGCAATTTTGTCTGATATAGTACCTTTTGATAGCATCGATTTCATCCACTGGGTATTAGCATTCTGTTTTTCTATAAATATAAAACAGTACATCAGTTACCCATGTTTAAAAGTAAACAATTATTGGTTTTGGTTGAGCACTTTTATATCCTGAGGCACATAACACCAAGGGATTAAAATGTGGCTGAGCAACAATAACCTCTCCTCTAGTCAGTAGTGAAGCTAAAACAAATATATGGGTGAATATACCGTTTTTGGGATTCCAATGTTCTGCCAACAAAAAATCTTGAGCAAACCAACCAATTGTGGAAACAAGTCATCAAAATAGTGTAAGATATCATCATTATTTGGAACCATTAGGATTGCACTTAGTGCAAAAATAATGCAGCACTTGGAGGAACACCTGGTTTTCTCTTCTCAAAAATTTACTATAACAGCACAGTCAATGAAATTAAATAAATATTTTTATAGTCATTGGGGGCAACTTTTAAGATGTACTAAGGTAGTGTGTTTTGATAACAAAACCTGCTCCAATTTTATGAATCCAAAATGCTATTAGTTCACAGTGAGAGTCCAAACACCATATACTCAACCAGACATCAATAATCAAAAGTACCACAGAGATAATCAAAGGGCAGGTAGCAATAGAGCTGAAACTATATACTTGAAGGGGTCCTACCAAATGTGCCATTTAGGATCAGAGACTATCAAAATTTACATATTCTATGGTGCATCTAATGTTAAAGCAAAACATACTTGAATTATAATTATTAACTTCTGCAGTGTGGCATTTCCTTGCTTCTTCCTTCAGTTCTATCAAGATTTGTTCAGTGTGTTGACCTGCATTTTTGGGGTCTTTTGGAGCCTAGAAGCATAAAAACACGTTTTGGTTTAAATAGTTTGTTTAGACTTGTGATCTAAGTACCTACATCTTCATACCATTTTTTGGTACTCTCAGGTTCTGCTTCAATTTCCGAGGGAGATATATCCTTATGATTTTTTCTTCCTTTGGCTTTCATTTTATTTGTTAATTAGGTGATATTTTGGCTTTTTGTAGATATCGGGATATCGCCAAAATGTTTTGTTTAGGTTGTCGCACATAACCTCAATCATATCACATGTCGCCTTGCCAATGTGGTGTCCATCTGAAATCCCCCTAGGCCGCTCCAAAACTCCCTAGATTGCTGTCATTGGTGTGACAAATGTCAAGAAGTAGATTTGTCAGATGTCAAGATATGTTCTTCAAATAAAACAACATGGCGTGCGGTAAAGTGTCCTTTTGTATATATTTTATTATTTTACTTTGTGCCTTTAGTATAAATGGACAAAAAACAGTGATAGAATTGAATGAAAATAACTGGCGTGATATCTTAGAAGGTGAATGGTTGATTGAATTGTAAGTATCACGGATTATAATCTCGCACAAACATGAATAATGTCCATTGTATTGTCTCTCAATAATACGATGATGTTAATGCCTTATTTATGCCGATTTTCTACATAAATGAGTCAAATTTAACAAATTTTGTTTTTCAGCTATGCACCTTGGTGTCCAGCGTGTAAAGCACTCGAACCTAAATGGAGAGAATTCGCATACTTAAGCCCAGGTTTGGGAATCAAAGTGGGTGCTGTAGACGTTACGACCTCGCCTGGACTGAGTGGAAGATTCATGGTGACTGCTCTACCCTCTATTTTCCAGTAAGTACGTTATACCTTATATTAGCAAGGTCATCAAAATAACAGCTGCAATTATTTTATTGATATGTTTCTTGGTGTTCTGCTGGACACTACATTTCATGGTAGCAACAACACATCATTTATCACTGCATTCTTAATAGCACACAAAAACACTTTAGACTCTGAGCCATGGACTGACCTTGATAAACTAATGGTCAAGGTCACCAGATACCTCCCTACATTTATATTGAGGATTTATGATGCATGATAATTTTAGAATTAACAATATGACTAATGTGTAGATATAAGTTTGTGTACTCAGCTTCCTTCTACTTCTTTCATATAACCAGTTTCCACAACTAGGTCCATAATATCCTTCTGGGATCTATGTATTACTCATCATATTACAAATATTTCCCAGGGAAATATTTGTATTTTGGGTCATTTTGTGTTGTCTGCTGGTTGTGCTGAAAAGTTTCTTGAATTATTATCAGAATATAAATGTGACCTATCCTCTGACTTCTGTACTTACCTTCCCTTTTTTATGCAACATAACATAAATAAACAATCTACATCAAGATATACTAAATTCTAAATATTATGGTTGCTGCATTGTCTAACCTTACATTGTTACATAAACTTACCCACTGCAGAATTATAGTGATGTAGTAGTAGTGACAGAATTCTAAAGGATTTAAAATTCCCAATATAAAAACTTATGATCATCATATTAATCGGATGAGACAATCCTCCAGATAAGTAGGATTTGATTAAGATTTTAATTTGTCTCTATCAATGTAAATACTTCAAATTTCTGTGGGCATCTTTCACCAAAGCTAATGTCAAGGATTAAAAGTGGATGAGTCAAGGCCCAATCATCTAAGTCATAAGCATCTCATTTTTAAGCTCATCTGACTCCTGAATAAATCTTAATTGTTGTTGTTCTAGGAGCTTTAATTTGCTTGTGCAGCTTAAGCAAATTAGCACTTATTTAAGAGGGCAAGATTGCAATTTATAAAATTTCCAGGGAAAATATGTTGGGACAACCTTTCCACTCATTTTGTGCATTTTGCTTTTGTTTTTCATTTTTTTTTGTCTTAAAATGCTTGATCACTCATTTTATTGTGGTATTTTTTAAAGTGTCATCAATGGTGAATTCAGACAATACAAAGGTTCAAGAGACAAAGAGGCATTTACAGCTTTTATTGAAGAGAAGAAATGGGAGCAAGTAGACTCTGTGCCAGGATGGAAATCACCAAACTCCATACAAATGACAATCGTATCATCTTTCTTCAAACTATCTCAGGGATTGAGGGTATATAAAACATATTTATTTATTTGTAAAGATATATTTTGTATTAGATAAGGCGAAAACCGTAATCATGTGTGATGGATGCAACTTAGCTTGAACCAATGAGGCTGCCAGGAGGTAACCAAACAATTTTGTCTTTTTCATATACTTTTTTAGGACCATGTTTTAATTACAAGTGATATAAAGTCAGGAAATTTCTGAAAATGGCTAGAATTAATGCATAAAAATGTTTGAAATCACTATTTTTATGGTTGCCAATTATAGTTTAAAGCATTTCCTACAAGACCCTGAAGAGTATTTTGGGCTTTGTCTATTTTAAGGCATTACTATTTAGTTATTAATAATGTGTAATGTGACAGGCACACAGCCTTTCTAGCGTACTGAAAATTTCTCTCACCAGCACAAGGCTTTTATGCCTCATCTATATTTGATGATACTAAATCAGAGAAAAAAAAACAGTCAAAAAGGCCCATAGACACAACTAGTCCATAGATATTCTTTGCCTACCCTACTGGTAGTTACTGTTACTGTGTATATGTTTTGTACCCTGCAGTTAGATTTGTTGATTCCCAGTACTTTCAAGTATTCGTTACTAATAGTTACTCTTCTACAGGGTGCGTCATCTATTACTTTTTTTTCTATTTGAAAAATCAACACGCTTTTTACGAGGTGAAATGGATTTTTTTATTGATAAATGAAGGTTGGTATATGCCATTTGTGTACGAAAAATAACATCAGTCATACCGCGGCTTCGTTTACAGGCCAACATCCGAACACCAAAATTTTCGCATAAACGTTTCCTTTCAAAAATCCCCAAAGAAAATATTCAAGTGATGTTAAATCGCACGATCTCGGGATCCAAGTAACATCTGAATTTCGTGAAATTATGCGGTCTTGAAATTTCGTGTGCAATAAAGCGATTGTTTGGCGAGATTTGTGAGCCGTTGCTCCGTCTTGATGAAACCAAAGATCGTCGGCACCAATACGATCCAATTGTGGCCACAAAAAGTCTGTTAACATGCCGCGACTATGTACCCGTTGACGGTAATGACCTTTTCTTCAGCATCTTCAAAAAAGAATGGTCCAATGATGCCACCAGCCCATAATCCGCACCAAACAGTCTCTTTTTTAGGATGGAGAGGTTGTTCATGATATTGGTGTTCAATTTTGCTTATTTACGTACCCATTGAGGTGAAAATGAGCCCCATCAGAAAAGAGCACTTTGGCCGAAAATCCGTCTTCTCTTTCCAGCATCCAGTTAACAAAAATACGCCGCTGTTGATGGCCTGCCGGCTTCAATTCTTGTGTTAGTTGGATTTTGTATGGATGGAGGTGTAAATCAATGTGTAAAATCCGGCGTAAAGTGGTCTCACTAATTCCAAATTGTTGCGAAGGGTGACTAGTCGAGGTGGTTGGATCTTCTCGCACACTTTCACTCACTGCGGCTATGTTATTTCACGAGTACGAGCTGGACGAGCGTGTTGGTATTGTCCACGACATGCAGCTGAATCAGTTTTCTCAAAACGATTAACAATCCAACGAATTCCAGGCTCTGTAGGGCGTCCATGTCGGCCTAGTGCGAAGTTTGCGAAAAGTATTTTTTATATTTCGACCGTTTTCGTAATAAGTTTGGATAACCAAAATGCGTTGTTGTGTTGTAAACGAATCCATGACTATAAATGGCATACCTTTGACAGTTTATTTATGCATACCACATGACTTTTGACTCACATGGTAACACATAAACTTATAGGTAAAAAAAAAGTAATAGAGGCGCACCCAGTACACAGTATGAAATAGTATAGTACATTTATTGCATTTCTTACTTTGATTAGTATGAGTATAACAATTTGGCAATGTGTCATGTAATTAATGACTAATATCGAATTTGAACAACATCAATGGAAAAACTATATTATGCTTTAGTTTGGTAAGTTGTCTTGTAAGGAAATAAACAACCTTAAATTCTAAAATAAATTAAAACACTAAGTCGCATCAAAATTGAAATAAATAATTCAAATCAAAATATTAAATTAAATGTTCGAACAGACCTCCTTCTTGGGCTAACCTATTGTAAGAGCCTGTGTGAACATTTTCTGGTGGAACATATTGGCAATGCTGCAGATTGCACGACCTCCTGCGTCACCTTCGCTAGGCAATGTGGTGATGATGTTTGCTCATCTGTCTCTTTCTAACATGTATTGATACACACTTCTCGCGCGTTTCTCTCGTACACATTACGACGTCAGCCATATTTGAGCCTCACCATATACTAAACCAAAAAAAATTATAAGCCGTCCCCCAACCCGCGAATTCCAGCCCCTACAAAAATGTTTCTGATAATGATCTGCAGCCTCTGAAATGCCGAATTTTTTGACAGCAGTATATTCATACTCTTTCAACCTCGGTAATTATATATATATATATATATATATATAGGTGAAAAATTAAAGCTTCCGCCTTTTGTTGGGTACTTCGACAAAATTTAAGCAAAGAGGACTCTTTATACTTTTTTAATTCTCTCTAGCTTTCAATGGACTTTGCCATCATCATCAGGAGCTGCAATTACAATGATAACAGTAGCAACAAAAGTGTAAAATGAATTTAAATTGACTCAACTTACAGTAGTATGTGAGGATGTTGCTAATTGTTGTTTACGTATAGGATGAGGGAAACGTCCAGTAACATGGTGAGAGCTGGATACATGGTACAATGGTCAAAATTATATAAAATATGACAAGAACAAGTTAAAGACAGATTAAAAATTATTTAAAAACATTAGAGCATTACATCGTGAAGCCACTTGATGATTGCACAAAATGGTGGTCATGGAATAATGAGTGAGATGAACCTTTTGACAGAAGGCCGAAGGTTGTCAATGTCTGTGTTAAAAGATGGAACGAATTGTGGGCGTGTGCCAAAACGTTGCCAAATCACTTCAGATGATGTGATTTTCAGAATGTTATGTATGAAATTGTTAAACCGACCAGAGGCAGTTGAATAAACTATATTTTAATTAATGGGAATTTAAATTAATAATTATTAATAAATCGTGAGAAGAGAATTATTAGATTTTGAGTGGAATGAAATTTACTGGTGGAATCGGCCAAAACACAGATTCTATTTATGGTTGTGAAGAGTCGAAATTTGGGGAGATATGTAAGTTCTCTAATTTTTCGCAGTTTAGCAAATATGAGTAAATGACACTCAGTTGTTTAACATCTGTCTTTTTGTTGATACAGTTGCTATTCATGAAAATGTGGGACATTTCCAGGAATAAACGTTTGGAAAGGTGTTTTTTTTTCTATCAAGAACTTTGATACTTGAGTAATTCATAGAATGCCCTGTTGTGTTAACATGAGATGCTAGAGCGCATCTTTCAGGATGAAGCCTAGCATCACTTTTGTGTGATGTAATCCTTCCTTTAAGAGATCTGGAGGTCTGACCTATGTATATTTGGTTGCAGTTGTTGCAATTGATTGAGTAGACTGTGTTGGTTAAGCCAAGCAGCGGGACTTTGTCTTTCATTTTTGAAAAAATGCAGTTTATAGTGAGGACGGATTTGCAAGCAATTCGAAAGTTCAAAGGACTGCACAATCTGATCAGCTTAGGGGTCAGTTCCTTGATATAGGGCAGGACAGCAAAACCAGGTCTGGAGTCCGGGTTGGTGCTTGTACTGTTTGGATTGATGATATTGTTGGGAATTACATCAGTTCCGTTATTAGGGGTTGTGCGACTATTACCTGCATCATCAGAGTTCGGCAGAATAAGTCAATTTAAATTCATTTTACACTATTGTTGCTACTGTTATCATTGTAATTGCAGCTCCTGATGATGATGGCAAAGTCCATTGAAAGCTAGAGAGAATTAAAAAAGTATAAAGACTCCTCTTTGCTTAAATTTTGTCGAAGTACCCAACAAAAGGCGGAAGCTTTTCACCTAACTGGTCTAGACGACAATGACCACGTCTCAAGTTTATATATATATAATTAGCAGTACGATACGAATGTATACTTGTGCCCACAAAATCCTGACTGCGATGTCGCCTCATTGCTACACTGCTAGTGCTGGCCATCATAATATGGCTGACAATGCCAGATGGTCGATACTTTCGGCAGGACAGGCAAGAAATTTTGACATAATCCTTAATGAACTGTTGAACGTGTTATGTGGGAAGTGCAAAGTCAACCTACTTGACGTCAATTTTGTAGTAGCTAAATTGTATTTCGAGATGCCAATTGGCATCAAATCTTTTTTTTCGTGATGCTAAATTAATATTTTATTTCAGCATATCCATAATAAACTCACTGAAGAATATGGCTTACCAAGCTATGGATCTTACCTCATCTTTGCAATTGCAACAATTATTCTGGGGGGATTACTAGGATTGGTGAGTAGCTTGTTTGTAAATTGCCTGTATGACTATAAAGCATTTTTTTTTATTTATAGGTGTTGGTATGTGCAATTGACCTGATATATCCACCCAAGCATTCAGAGATTAGAAAAATGAGTGCTGATGAGAAAAGGGAAAAGAATAGTGATGATGAATTGGTATGTATTCACAAAAAATGACCTTTCCGGCGGACAAAAAGTGCAACAATGCAAAAACCTTAAAACACATTAAAGAATGTATATCACAAGCCATAGTACATAACTTCCCAAATTGCAGTCACTTTTTTAAAACATATCTTAAATGATAATGAAATCCATTTTCTACCCTTCACATCATCTGATGCGTCACTGTTGCAACTGCTGCTGTATGTCATGTCAATTGATGTACTTGTCTGATAACATAATTCCATCCGTATGTCAAATTGCATTAATATTTCTTACTTAGGATGACGAAGATATAAAAGACGACCTCGTCGATGATGCGAGTCAATCTGGAGGCGACCACAACTCGGGAACAGATTCACAGAATGAGGCAGCTAATGCAGGGAATGCAAAAGTGAAGAAGCGCAAAACTAAAAGACTGGACACAGTCGACTGATTATTTTTTTTATTCAGTCATACTCTGGTGCGTATGTTTTTGTTGCTGGAAATTTAGAGCAGAACTCAATTTTAAATTAGGTTGTCTATATGACGCATGACAGGTCACACCTATATTTCATTATATTTTGAAACTCGAATGACGAATTTGTGGGGTAATTTTGTACAAAAATTCTCTGTTTGCTCTACTTTTCCCTTCAAGCACTGAAGCAATGAAAATGCATCCTACTAATTGAGAATACAAATAAAACTTCAATTAACTCTCTAGGCGCGCAAGTTGGAAGAATATAATTATTATACTTCATAAGCAAGCTTTTAACAGATTTCTTTCACATAGTGTAACAAATGAGAATGTGATTATTGTGAGATAAATTAAAGTGCGTTTATTTCATTCCAAATGGTTGTACTATTCCCAAAACGTTGATGGTTGAGAGAAAGCATGTAAATTTCTATTGAATGTACAGATTTCTTTTGTATTACTTTCTAATAAAAGTTTTTTCGATAATGTTAGAATGTTTTCCCATAAAACTTTGATAGCAGTACTAATTCAACAACCACGAAATAAAGTAAACATCAAGCACACTTCTACTGGTCTATAGGTAAAACTAGATCAATAGTGAAGCAAGTTTTACTGACTGTCAAAAGATACATAGAATGTGGATTTGACGAATGGAGCCTATACCGGGTGTTTGGTACACATCATTGGAAATGCAATGAATCACAGAAGTTTTGTAAGTAAAACAAGGTTTAAAAAAAGGTATCACTTTTTCATATTCGAATTTGAAATTATTTATACACTCCACGTGATTCTACGACTTTGGGAGGCCATAAGTCATTTGTTTGAGAAAATTTGCACAAACTGTTTATCTGATCTGATTATTTTGTGTCATCTCTAGAAACAAAAAAGTTATAGCGATATTTATGCGCAATTCTAGGTAATTCAGCAGAAAAACGATCATATGTCGGTAACCATAGCCCTTAGAGCATTGCGGTTTCGATCAAAAATCATCAAATAGCATCCTCAATCGTCCAAAAAATGTTGATGGTTCATGTACCAAACAACCTGTATACCAGTAGAAGCTGCGGCAATGGTGTTCGAGCCGTAAAAAACGACCCCGATACTTGACGCTTGGAGTACCAGTGGTGCTTTGACAGGGTGGCCATGATGAGGATTTTCCCCCAAATTTGTGGAATTTTTTGGGCGATATAATGTTCTGAGGGAATTCCGTTTCAGATAGAAAGTATACCCGTTCTTTAAACCTATCCCTTTCCATTAATCAGCTGTGATTTTTTGCGGAAGAATGAATATATCAAACTTGCAAGAACACAAATAGTAGTTTCAACGGCAGAAAAACCTTTCATGTTCTCAAGCAGTGCAGGCAACCTTCCCAAAAAGCCCTTTTACAAAGGATAGTCTCGGGGAAGCCAGACGTCTAATTTTTTCTGAGAATCTCATTCATGAAATAAACTGGATAAACATCAAGCACATTTCTACTGGCCTATAGGTAAATTTAAATCAATAGTGAAGCAAATTTTACTGACTGTCAAAAAGTACGTAGGATACGGATTTGACCAGTGGAGCCTATATACCAGTAGAAGCGGCGGTAATGGTGCTCGTGCTGTAAAAACCACCCCGAAACGTGACGCCTGGAGTATCAGTGGTGCTTTGACAGGGTTGCCAGGATGAAGATTTTCCCCCAAATTTATCGGATTTTTACTTGGGGAATTTTTTGGGCGATATAATGTTCAGGGGGAATCCCGTTTCGCGGATAGAAAGTATACCCCCGCTCTTTATTCCGCAACAAGAGCGCAGGTTTGAATCCGAAGAAGGGATGGCAAATGTTGTACACCTATGATTCTATTTAAAAGCAGTGGGAGCGCTGGCTTGATAAAGCAATAGTTTTTTCATAAGAGAAAACTTATATCGTGCCCTACATACTATTGCCACTATATCCAATTGTCTCCAAAACCAGTAAATATAATTTTCTTCCATTTGGCTGCAAATATATTAGTTAGTTTTGTCTATTAACATTAACAATGGATTTTTGTTGCTACGCAAGTAGAAACGTGAATGCTAAGACGTCATAAGATAACTTCTGGAAGTTGAGAATAAGAAACCAGATAAGTTTTTACAAATATTTATTAACAAAAAGACCACCTCGTGTGAGAATAAATAATTACCAGATATGCACACAAGTGGACCCAAATCCAATAAGGTCGACAGTTTGAAAGCTATGTGATGAATAAAATCATTGATAAACCATTAAAAAAGTTTGATCACAAATAAATAATTACTTATTAACTAGTCTAAACAGAATAGAGTAAGTCATTTTCATTTTTAAACTTAGGGACAGGCTTGGCGAACGGAGAAAACCACATCAAGGAAAACCTTCCAAATACAGCCTGGATGCTTTTCCACCTGGACTTTTTCACCCACCTTGCTTCTTCTTTTTTTAGCTGCTCGATTCCTGTTTCATCATTCCAAATTGCTTGCACCTGCAAGACATGAATATCAATTGGAATAGAAATTTAAACAAATTCGCAGTTAGTCCAGTACCAACCAGAAACGTGATAAAATTCAGGGGTATTACGATTCCTAAATGTTTATCTGGTCTGGGGAGCACTGGACCTCCCAACCTGATCAGACCCAGCCTACACTTGGAACCCACCATGGGTCCTCGCGTCAAAACAACAGATTGGGGATCTACGCCCCCCAAATTTACCCATGGTACGACACTTCGTCCGGAGAAGGTGTTCCGCAGGGTTATTACGTAAATAACCTATATGTCAAAAAACAAAAACGATATAATGTAAACTTGTTAACTAGGTAGGCTAGTGCGCAAATAGCTTATTCCGCGGTTGCTACAAGTGAACAACAGCTTGTTCCAAGTTGTTGTCATTAAAAAACCGACATGCTACATATTCTCGCCTGCGACACAGGAATTTTATGTTTGTGATACTTGTCACTGTGCTGTCACTTTTGTTAAGTAAATAATTAAGACGACTGTTGAAAAAATGTGATAAAGAACGAAGAAAACGATAAGTAATATCAAGCAAAATCATACTTTGTCGTTTGCAATTTTGTAGAACGGTGAAGAATCTCGAACGCATCATTCATTGTCGGCTTCTTGAGATTTTGTCGAAAAAAAAATGTCGATTGTAAAATTCAAGAAGGCACTTCGAGCGACATTTTAGCTTTCTCGCATGCGGCACTGATCATCCAAAATTCGAGAACAACTCCCTGATCATACTTGTGCAGAGCTATTGGGATTTTTTTCATATGAAAGCCCAATATTGGACTATCAGTCAGAATCTCCAGTTTCGACCCCGGTAAATTTGGGGATCAAACAAACGTCAAAAATCGATGGTAACCCATTTACATACGCAACAGGTGTTCATTTATATCAAAATATGTGAGGGTTTTGGAAAAATTTTAGTAGGAAGCCTCAAAATATAGAACTTTGTATGCAGCTCTGATTTATCTTATGAGTAAGGTGATAGAGGTGGAAGCTTGATTAGCAACCGGCAGTATGGTTTTCGGTACCAGCGATCAACGGGGACCTCCTAGCTTACGCCACGCAACTGTGGAGTTAAATCAACCAATCACTTGCAGAAACTCTATTCTTATATTATATATATATTCTTACTCCGGATATCACTAAAGCTTTTGATTAACTATGGGATGCTGCCCTCTTATGTAAAGCCTTCCGGAGAAGCTTTGCTACTACGTGTCAGATCGCTGACCAATAGTTAGTAGAAGGTAGACCTGTTACTATGCGTACACTCTATCGCCGCATTCGAGCTTTTGGGACTTTTTTCATACGGCCCACAGTGAGTGCTTCCTCTGACTGCGGACCACTGTCGTTAACGTTTGAAATGGAGCAGAGAACGGCAAAATTGGGAGGCGCAATGGCATAATGTCATCTTCAGCGACGAATTGCGATTCTGTCTAGGTACGCACGATGGTCGTTGAAGGGTAAGATGCCACCGTGGAGAACGTAATTTGCTGTTGAGAGGCATGTACACAGGACTATTGAAGTAATGATTTGGGGGCTATTGCCTATGGTAGCCAATCACCCCTTCTCTTTAATCAACGCAATATGACTGCTGCGCGTTATGTTGCTGATGTCCTACAAAATACTTTAGTGCCGTATCTAGAGGGCCGTCCACACGTCCTTTTTCAGCAAGACAAGGCACGTCCCCATATTGCTCGTTGTGCTACGGACTTCCTTTTGCCGTTAATGGTTCACCGAACCAGTTGCTTGGAATGAGGTGCCACAACCAGACATCGATCATCTCATTTTGTCGATGCCTAAACGTATACAGAAGTGCATTCAGCTGCGGGGTCGCCCAACACATTATTAATGTTTTTTTATTACTCGTCAATAAAATTCCGTGAGAATGTTATCGTTTCATTCTATCACTGCCAAACAATTAAGTAGAAGAAATTATTTTTTCTGGGTGTAACACTTCTAATGGCACTGAGTGTATGTGTTGAATTCTGTTTATTGTACGACGTTTCCGTCACCGTAGTGTCTTACGGCATATTTTATAAAAATCCTTGTAAATTCTTAAATGGGTGAAAAATATTACTCCACTATGTCGATTTTTTTCTTACCTGTGTGCCCAACATAACAGCCGTGAAGATGGCGAAGAGTAAAGCTTCAAACATAAGGAACAAAAGTAAAACTACAGTTGCTGGTGGAGAGTAGGTGGTACATTCTTTCCATTCGTGACGGATACACATCAGGAATTGGTTTACTGCCAGGAAGAGGGAATGTATAGATATGGTGGCAATGTAAAACTGGAAAAAAAGAATTATTAGACAGCATTTTAAGAATGAGGTAAAATAAAGTCTAGCATATGTAGGCAGATGGCAGAGGAGTGAGTCAATAACTATCGTCACAGAAGCATACATTGAAACAATATATTACACTCCTGCTTTTGTTCGTTTATTGGCATATCCTTGAACTTGCCACAATATATACTGTAGCCCCACCAACAGCCACACAGGCTCCTATGAGGAGCTTAAAAAAACTTTGGCAATCCGATTTTTGAACTGCCTAAGGTTATAAGAACTGGGAAACGCCTCCTCATGTCGATTCCACAATCTCGATAAACTAGGGAAAAGGAGCGATCGTATCGGCCAATTCTGGATGTACGAAGTTCGACACGGTTAGGATGGGAGCCTGAAGTCTGGCGGGTCTGTCTAGCAGGCACATCGCGCGGCGGCATTATGGAGGAGGGCTAGATCGCCGACGGCCCAGCGGTGCGAAAGGGTCCCGAGACTGTCCGTCAGAAAAGTGTCATCGTTCAGTCGGACAGCCTTCCTCTGAACAGCATCGAACATGTAGTTGGGGTAGCAGCACCCCAAACATTTGGGCTGTACTCGAGGCCCGGACTTATCTGGGCCTTGCACAGACTGAGGAACAAATAGCCTAGCTTTTCCCCAGTAGCTGCCGCTACTGACGTGTTCGTGCCGGATCAAGTCCACGGTGATTCGGACTCCGACCAGCCGAAATGAACAACAAGGTTATTGCATCCCCAAGCAGTGATAACCTCCAGATCTCTCGACAAAGGAAAAGTTGGTGCTAGTCTTCTTTTCTAGAAGGTCGTTGAGATGTAAGACGAACAATGTCGGAGCCAAGGCCGATCCATTGCTGGAGGCGTTCTTGAAAGTCCGCGTAGACTCTCTCCAACATCGCTCTCTCAACTTGGGCGAGTTCCGCGCGAATTGCCTCCTACAAATCGTTCAGAGTTCGAGGCTTGTATTCGTATACACGAGCCTTGAAGTGTCCCCATAGAAACAAATCGCAGATGGATAAATCTGGAGGCCGAAGAAGCCAATGAACATCACCAAACCTGGAAATAAGGCGACCACGGACGAGAGGGCGAATAACGTTCATCGTTGCTCTGGCTGCTTAACCATGGCATTAAAATAAAAGTGAGCTTCATCACTCATGAACAAAATGGGGTTCTCATTTTGCTCGATAAGTGCTTACATCAAACGAGCGAAGTTCATTCGTTGTGCGTAATCTCCATGCTGTAACTTTTGCACAATGGCCAATTTGTAGGGGTGACAGTGGAGTTCCATATGCAAAATGCCGTGACAGACTCATTAAGTCGGACAAAGATGTCGTACGCGAAACAGCGGTACTCAACCGTCCATTGCTCTATAATGACTACTGGTAAAAATGTTAGGAACGCCCGAGTCGAACGGCACTATCCCCACCACTCTCGTCCGAATAGGCGGAGAATACTAGCTATTTCAAAAACATCCGTTCTTGGTGCTGGACCCTGTATTAAATTACAGTTGATCTGAGCAAACGAATGTCTGAAAGATGTTGATGGCACTATAGTTTATATGCCCTATACAACCTGCAATATTCCAGTGTACATTATCCCTTGATAGTGACAGAACAATTTGATCATGACTCTTAAGTAACGTTGAATGAAAATGTACAGTTTTTTGAGGTAACAAAAAAAGGGTGAATATCAGTGTGTGGCAAGTACTCATTTGTTCTACTTGGCTAAAATCAAAACAATGGTGACTTATCCATGTAATTTCACTAATGAGGCAGTGTTAATTGAGAAACATTGCACATCAACCATAACATTAAAGATAAATTATTTAGGACAAACAAGTTATTCTTAATAAAATAATATCTTTATGGGTCTGTTCTGATATTTATTTAGACCGCTTTTTGATGCATAAATTCCAGACATGCTATTAACTTTTGATGGGGTTCAAAAAATTATACTCACAGTAAATAGTACAAAATACTTCTGATTATGCTCTCCAACACAGTTGTTGACCCAAGGACAATGGTGGTCCATTTTCCTTATGCATCTGTATGAGACAAAACATATTAACTGTGTTTTCTAAAGAAGCTAAAGGGATGTTGGGTTATTTGAACTGTTTTATGCCCAAATTATTTGTTAATACAAAATCAGACAATCATTTTCCAATGTCTATTAACAGTAATAAGCCGAATTTACCCTAGACATAAGATTCCCAACCCCCAGTCTCCCCCATATCAACCTTCAATATGCTATCGCTTGGTAACACATTCTTGTGATTATTGATTTCAAACTTATATTTGCTTAATAAAATACCAGACAAACTTCTTGCTAAATGCCCATTCTATATTTATCATGTTTTGACTCCTAAGCCATCCTTTGGATGGTGGATATTTATTTGTATGCATCTTGCATATTCAAAATATACCAGATTTTGCTTATCAGAATTCACCAGGGTATTTCTGTTGTTGAGGTCGCTGATTTCGATTTCAAAATCCGATAATTTGTATCATCATACTGTGAAGGCCATTGCAAGGTCAATGGTGTGAAGTTACAAAAATGAAGAAAAAAATGAAACAGATTTTTTTCTGGAGTGTTTGCATCAATAAATAAATAAATAAATAGTGTTTATTGCCCAACAGTTGATGTAACCATTTAATAATAACAGGTTTACACTCAATTACAGGAACAATCTACTCGTATAGTAACATCAAAATGCTAGATTCTCTTGTGTCAAAAAGCAGGACAATTCTAAAGGATAAATCGAATTAGCAAAAGTAAAAAACACGCAAAAAGCACACCTGAATCAATCTATCTAAAAAAATGCAAAACACAGTTTACTCAAGAAACAGATAAAAAATATGCCTGATTCCTACCTATTCTCTGAATAATATTTAAGCCATGCACAATAATTAGATACAGTATACAAAAATTTGCAAGTTTTTCGCATTACATATATGGATGCTTCCAGAATAAATTTGCATGACCTGTCACAATAAAATCATTTCATTCAATTGAGCTAAAAGTTGATGTAATACAAATTATTAGATTTTGAAATCAGAATTAGCAACCCTGAAAACGCCAAGACACCTGGGTCAGCTCTCGTAAATTAGGCATTATAGTACTTGTATGCAGGTGAATATACTCTCCATCCTTAAGCAGGAGCTAGAAAATTAAAATGTGATAAATAGGAATCAAATGGTGCTTAATAAGATTGGTATGGTGTTTTATATGTTTGAAAGCAAAAAATCTTGCTAAGAAGGTTGAAAGGAAAGATACGAGTATTGAGAATGGTCCATTTAGGGTAAAAACAACTTATTGCTGCTGGTGAACATTGAAAAAATAATTATTTGGTTTTTACCAAAAAAATAATTTGGCTACACTGAAAAAGTGATGAATGGTTACAACATTTTTCTATTCAATATTCCAATACAAGAATAAATTGAGTTATCCACCTGTTTTGCATAGGTTAATTATTCCTATAGCAGTATTTATAAGATAGGCAAAATGGTTCAACACTGTATATCATAGTCACATCCATCTCTACTATATCCGATTATATTTTTCTAGTATTTGTATTTTTCTTTTAGTTTTTCTTCTTTTCTGAGATATACTTTGTTCTTGCAACAAAGTCTTCATAATAAAGTGATATTATAATCTCTTTATGACTTTAGTGCAAATAAAATATATACAATATTTTATAAGACTTACCTCTGACATACAGAACAGTGATGGGCCCTATCAGGTTTGATACTGCAGCATTTGGGGCATTTAAATATCACTTGACCTTCCTGGAACCCCATCTGCATAATCATCTCTTTGGTTGCATTACCTTTGGGAACAGCACCCTATACCATTGAAATAATATAAACTGTATAAATAAATATCACCAGCAAATGGGCATATGAATAAGTTTTAACAGTAATGAAAAAACGTACTACAGAAAAATCTGTTTGATCGAACTATATGTAATATTGTAGATTGTAGGATCTTTTACTTGGTGAAACTGTTCCATCATGAGATCAAATAATACAATATATTTTGCAATAATACACTGCAAAAGTGATATGTCTTACTTTTGATGATGCTTTTCAAATATTTCAAATGCAAGTGAAACATTTAAGAATTTTCCAGTGTTCCTCTATAAAACTTGTACAACAAATTATAGTATTCAATCCCAGGTATTCAAAATATTGTATTGAAGATAAGTTTTAGCAATAATTCATAATAGTCTTAGTCTGTTTTTAAGAACCATATTCACAAAGCTTTGAGACTAGTGCAGCATGCAAGAGTCTTTAGAAAAGTACCTATACCACTGTTGTATTCTAAACATAATTCTGAATTTGTTGTGAGGTAGACTTTACTATATCACACACTATATCTTTATTGAGGTCAAAGGTATTATAAACCAGGCTTACACTACAAATCAGCATGTAGGACCAAACATTTTTTAAAATAATGGAAACACTAGTGGTATAATCGAACAAATGCCTTCAAACTTTATGTGTCTAGGTCCAATACACCTATGTGAGTATCTTTAAAAGCATAAGATTACTTACAGGGTCAGTAAACATAGTCTTCAGATGTGAAGTAACAGCTAAACACGCACAGGCTTGAAATATAACCATATTAATAATGCTGTATATGGGATATGGGCTTGGAATTAGTATCACAAACATAACAACAAACTCTGCATAAAATATAAGTAGCCATGTCAGTATGGCACAAATGATACCGCAAATATCCCTCACACACCACAACATCCCCCCACAACACCTATTGTGATAGTCCGATTCTCTTCTGAATGAACCGTACTCGTATTCCAACATTGTGGTGCAAAATTAATCGTCCCTCCGTTTTGCCCATAAGGATTGTCGGTTATGCTGTCACGCGAAGCGAGGGACACATTTTTCGTTTACTTGTTTCTTCATCATAGGAATTTATGAACAATTATCTATATTCATTTTCAAAAAGGTTCTTAGATTATGGATCAGGGTAGCTCTCTTGCTTTGATTTTGTTGTTTGGCAAATTTGACATCGACGATCGACAAATCGCTAAAATGACAGTTGTATGTGGATGACATAGAACATTTAATTTCCGCTGAAACGACCAGTTGATGGGTCACCGAAGAGCCGTGTTGCCGGACCGAAAGAGATAAAATAGATAGTGCCATTGACATTCGGTAGAATCAAGGACAAAATCTGTAGGAGAAAAAAACCAGGACGGTCGCCAGGTCAGCGGTGGTTCAAGCGCCTTTGAGTCACACAGCGCGGTTTATGCAGAAGCATATCTTTGTTTTGTACGAGCACCTTTCCGTGAAAAAATATTGACTTCTTTAAAACAACTTATACAATGAGCATAAGGGTCGCTTTTGAAACTCCTTTGCCAGGATCCTGGATACTTCATTCTTCATTCGTGGTTATAAGATATAATATAATATACAATTAAGAACATGCCATCTTTGGTTTCCTTATCCGGTGATGATGATGTTGATTTCCCGTACCTGTTGTATGCACACAAAACAAATGTAGGAAAAGTGGAGAAATGGACGCGCGTACATCCTTATAGGCAGTTCAAATCTACGTTCCACGTGTGCCCGACTGTCCATAAGTGTACGCAAGTGTACGATTGGTATGGGGCAAACTACATATAATTCATTTTTTAACTTAATTTTTTTTTCAGCTTTTTCGCGGCAAGTAAATAAATAAAATATCTGAATTATTTTAACCCTGGAACTGCACACTGGGGTCTGAGAAACCCAGGTATCCCCTCTCTTGTAAGTGCTTCGAAGAAACGTAAATAGTTCGGCTGGATAGTTCGGTGTAAATTCAGTCTGTAGTGAGGAGAGACAGTGCGTAGACGTTGGCTGTTATTTGTGCTATCTATCCCGTCCGAATATTGACTAACATCGGTGAATGGGTACGGCAGACCCCAGTGTGTGGTTTACGTTGATAATATTTATTTTGTATTTTATAGCTATGGCAAATTCTGACTGGGAAAATCGTCGTCCCTTAACGCAACGTGAGTTACAAAATGAGGTCGACAATGTGTGGCAAAATGAAGATGAGGCAGATAATGACGAAGACTTGTTTGGTGAATTATCTGACAGGGACGAAGATTATGTCGATGAACAACAGTCTGATACTGACAATGAACAGAGTGATGATGGTGATGAAGTTGTGTTACAGAATCCTGGTATATCGAGCAGGAACACTGCTAGTATAATGGGCAAAAACGGTCATCGCTGGAGTACCAAAATACCAGAACGCAGAGGCCGCACAACGAGAGACAATATTGTTTTACATATGCCCGGTCCTAAACAACAGGCGAGATTAGTTCGCTCTCCAATAGAAGCATGGGAGCTATTATTTAACCAAGAAATGTTAGGTATAATTGTATTACACACAAATCAAGAAATTGTGCGTAAGTGTTTTGAAAACTTGCCACAAAGTTATAAAAAGCCAACTAACCTTGTAGAGATTAAAGCTTTTATTGGGCTTCTCTATTTAGCAGGGGCCCTTCGACTATCAAATACGAATTTAGATGAATTATAGTCAATAAAGTACGGAAATGGATTATTTCGAGCTACAATGTCTCAACAGAGATTTCAGTTTCCAGCTCTCTGTTTACGATTCGATGATAAGAATGGTAGGGCTGCAAGAAAATTAGTAGATAAATTTACACATATCCGACAGCTTTGGGAAATTTTTATTGAAAACTGTAAGTCGTATTACACTCCCTATGAAAATTGCACAGTGGATGAGCAACTTGTCAGTTTTCGGGGAAAATGTCCATTCAGAATATACATGTCTAGTAAACCCGATAAATATGGTATGAAAATAATGATGATGAACGACTCTAAAACTTTTTATATGGTTAATGCAATTCCATATGTGGGAAAAGTTAATGTAGAGAATAATGAGCCAGTACCTACTTATTATGTTCGGAAACTCTCAGAACCAATTCATGGAACCCACCGTAATATAACCATAGACAACTGGTTCACCTCTATACCTCTATGTGAGGAAATGTTCCATCAGTATAAATTAACAGTCCTAGGAACACTGCGAAAAAACAAAAGAGAGATACCCACAAGCTTCTTAGGAAGAAAAGCAGTTGCCACGTCCCTTTTTGCTTTTGATCACAACAAAACGCTTGTTTCGTATACGCCTAAGCGAAATAAAGTTGTGCTTTTACTATCCACTTTGCATCCTGATTCATCCATTAATGTTGATACTGGAAAGCCAAACCTGATACATTCATATAATGAAACGAAGGGAGGAACGGATAGTTTTGACCAGTTATGTCATTCTTACAAGACATCACGCAAAACTAGAAGGTGGCCCGTGAGAATATTTTTCAATATGTTGGATGCCAGTCGAATTAATGCTATGATTATATATTCTCTCTTGTGAATCGAGATTGGAAAGAAAATACTAAAAATAATCGTAAAACGTTTCTCAAAGGACTAAGTAATTCATTAATTGAGCCACATTTACGAGAGCGGGCACAAGTGACCACGCTGCGATCATATCTTCGGCTTAGCATTAGTGAAATTCTAGGAATGGATGCGCCACAAAGACAGCATCCAGCAACAGATTTGCCAAGAAAGGTTAGATGTGCAATATGTCCACGTGGTAAAGACAGAAAAACTAACTTTGGATGTTCTAAATGCTACAAACCATATTGTTTAGAGCACAGGGCTAAACTTTGCTGCCAATGTGAAGACACAAACTGAGTTTCATGGCTAAGAAATTTATGGAGGTGTATTTTCATTTTTCAACTTTTTTTGTGTTCTATAATGACTTTTTAGACATTAAAAATGTATTTAGCTTTTTAAAAGTTTTTTGTTGCATTTTTATTGATTACCTTCAGTTAATGTGCAATTGTATACTGATTTGTAATATTCTTTGTTCTAATACAATTAACGTTGAACCCAATGAACAAAATATTATTAAAATATTTTCTTCTACGAATTATCTGATGTATTTTGACATAAAAAGTAAAAATATAATAATGAGGGTACATAACATCCAACAAAAGTACTTGGGTTTCTCAGACCCCAGTGTGCAGTTTATAGGATAAAAAATAAGTGTGCAGTTCCAGGGTTAATAAATCATGAACGTTTTGGGTATTTCAGTAACTTCCCATTTCGGTAGAAAAACCGAAAAATCTGTAGGCTCGGCAACACTGCTGAAGATATAGTCACAGCCCCTGTGATACGCCGCGTTCAAATACTTCGCTCAGAGTACTGCATGGTACATCAGACACGCTCGTAGCGTTCAGATTATTAGTCACGCTATTCAGATTTTTTGGATACCCGTTACCAGAAGTCGAAGCAAGCACATCAGTAGAAAGTGCGATGGAATTTGCCCCGTCTGCGCACTAGCATTATTTTTGGCAATATCCGTTGTTGATCTGTTATGATGTCTTTGTTTACAAACTAGAAAATCAAAAATCTTGTATTCCCTTCGCTAGTACCGAATACCGAGAGGTGAAGATACCTTACATTTTATTTTCCAGTAATAAATACAGATAACTAGAAGATTTTTATTGGATTTGTGCTACATATTTGTGTTTGGTGGATTTATGTTGGTACATATATACCAAAGGCTGTTTACATACATGTTTTTCATAGATTATGTATTAAAAAATAATTTTTGATGTATGTCTATTCTATAATCCATATACAATTCCATCTTTTGGATTATAAATTGGAGTGATGTGCTTAGAAAACACACAGCCTTGTGATGGGCCAGGAAAGTAAAAAGTTCTCAGTCCGATATCTCATTGAAGTCATTCATGAACATGTATTCGTGGGGTTCCTTTTTCCGAGCTTCTTCTGAGATATTCAGAATAACATAAACTTCATCATCTAAAGACGATGACTGGACTTTCTCAAGTATTTGGGATACAGACTGCATGAAAACCGCGTCATTTATTTTCAGCTATAACGAGGAGAATATAATAATAAAGAAAACTTGTGTCATTTCTTCAGTCGTTCCTACAATTGCTACAATAATTGTAGGACGCCTTTATAGCCGCCTTGATTTTTATAGTTTTTTACTGCTCCGTGTCAGCGATCTATTTTGAGGTAATGTTACAAATATCTATTTGCATCAAATTGTTCATGCTTTTGATTTATATCACCTGTTATATCAGTCTGAAAGTTCCTACAATTCAAAAAGGAAACATAATCTTACAACAGGAGTGCGAGGCAGTAGAAATCTAGAAATAAGGGAGAATAAATGATGAATGAGTGAACATCTGAACGCACTCCTAAGATTTATTGTTTTGTAACCGCTGGGACAATTGAAACGTCTTGTATTTCTGTGTTAGTGTTCTGTGTCTTGTCTAGAGTATTTATTTTGTGGTTTGTCCGTTTGAAATTTTTTAACGGCTCTGTGCATGACGCTGGAAATGCGAATGTGACGTGTTTTTGTATATTCCTTTTTTTGAAAAAGAAAAGTCACAAATTGATTATACAGATTTATTGACAAGGATACAATGACTTCATGGTGATTCCAAAAGGCAAAGTGGCTGTGTCTGTTAAGATGGGGAAAAGCACAAAAACGGTGCGCGATGTCCCAAAGCAAAAGACACCAAGGAGGTTGGCTTTAACGAAAAGCCGTATTAACGCAATAACCGAAGTGATTGCTAAACCAAGTTCTGAATGTATATCTTCGGCACATGCGAATATTCGTGTAGTTGTAAGAATTCGACCTCAAAACAGCAGAGAACATGGTGACAACAGCAGGTAGGAACTTTGGGTGTAGCAAGCAAAACATTTCTGATAATTCGTAACTGATCGCTAAAGTTCCATTTGTAACGAATTATTGAATTACAAATTGTTTAAAGCTTACTGTTTTGACTGGGATTTCATTTTCATTATTCCTCATTTTTTCCTCTCTTCCTACTCTTTTTCACCACAAAACAACTTTTTCTATCAGAGTATTACTGACATAAAAAACAGACATTAGAATGGTTAGGGACCTTCCTCTCAAACAGAAAGCAGTATGTAGCTATATGCCATTTAAGCTCTGGTGGTACTAGGGTTGATGTTAATTCTGGGATTGAAGAATGTTTGTCCTAGATTGGACTGCTCTAGTCCCTAAATTATTCTTCTTTTGGAAACGAGTTATAATGTACCTGATGCATTGATAACTTTGGTGTGTATTTTTATTCCTGTATGGACTGGAAGCAACACTGCGACTATGAAATAATGAAGCTTAATTTATTATATTGTCTATTATTAAATTTAGGAGATATTATGCCATTAAATTAATTAATTAGTTTGTATCATGGATAGGTTGACTATCTCATGTGACGAAGATTAATAACGTGGCGTCAAATTCAATTGATAGTGAAATTGGGGTACCTCAGGGTAGTGTGTTGGGCCCGCTTTTGTTCCTACTTTATATAAATGACTTGAACAGGGTTTTAGTAAATACATTTCTGAGCTTATTTGCAGACGATACATTGCTTTATGTGTACGGTAAGGATTTTAGACAACTTGTAGATAGTATGAACTCAATACTGGAAATTCTGTATAACTGGTTATGTGTGAATAGGCTTAAGCTGAATGTAGAAAAAACAAAATCCATGGTTTTTGGAACAAAGCAGAACTGTAATACATTTTTAGAAAAGAAATTTTGTATTGAGATAGATAATATTCAAATTGAAAATGCATCTAGTATGAAGTACTTGGGCGTAGTTTTAGATCCTCAGCTAAATTTTTCATTGCATGTTGATTATGTTAGTGAAAAAATTGGGAAAAAAATAGGATTTTTTAGGCAAATATCTGAAAGTCTTAGTCACTGGAGTCGTCTTCTTGTATATAATACAATCATATATCCACATTTTAATTATTGTTTTTCATTGTTGCTATCATGCAAAAAAACTGATATTCAAAGGCTCCAGTTACTACAAAATAAGCTATGCGCACTATATTATTTTGTACACGTTATACGCGTATTAATTTAATGTTAAAAACCCTCGGATGGCTTTCAATACAGCAAAAGGTTGAAATGTCAAATGTCTTATTTATTTTTAAAACAAAAAATCATTTATTGCCTGAATACTTGCAGGAATATCTAATACCGAGGTCCGAGAGGCATGCATATAATATCAGGTCACGTAACACTTTTGACATAGAATTCGCTAGAACATCCCATATGCAAAAATGTCTTTTTAGTGATGGTTTGAGACTTTTTAATGCATTACCTACAGAAATTAGGGAAGCGACGTCTGTAAATATATTTATTCGTAAGGTTAAGCAATTGTATTTAGATAAAATGGCATAATATATGTACTTTCTGTGTTAAAATAACTGTATGTCATTATCTCGCATTTGCTATTGTTGCATTTACTGTGGTTGCAGTTACTATGGTTTTAAGGGAATCTAGAATTACTGTTTTTTTGTTTATTACTGGAGTAAGACACTATTATAAACTATAGGAAGTAGCTTTAGGGCTAAGAATAATAAACATTTCATTTCATTTCATTTCATTTCATCTCATAAGATATGGCATATCATTTTGGGGGATCTCTACTAATTCAAAAGAATTATCTGATGTATAGCAGGTGTTAGTGCTAGATCATCTTGTAGAGATCTGTTTAAGAGATTCAGACTACTAACACTTACTGGTTTATAATAATAAATAAATAATAATAAATAAATCTTTATTTCAAAATAATGGTGCATAATTACAATGTATTACACACTGTTAGGTGAAATATACATCACAGTGTCATCAAGACAGAAAAAACAAAGAGGCAAAACATATAACATAATAGAGATATTACATTTCAAAATATTCTTGAAGATCATTTGGTTCTAAGTGCATTAACAATTGATAAATACTCTTTTTATATTCTTTTATTATCTTCCAACCTTTTAATTTCTTGTGGTAACTTGTTATATATTCTGGTGCAGCAGTAATGGACATTTTTTTTGGTAACCATGAGATGATGGACTGGATACAGAAGATTTATATTTCTATTTCTTGTGTTATAGTCACTTCATGGGTTATATATACTGAACACTTGTTTATACATATAAATGTAAAAAAATCAAAACACACAGCCAAATGCAATCAATTAACACAAGGATCAGCGAAGACTTTTATGTACTACCTTATAGAACTCAAATTATGTGTAAGTCCCCAAATATTAATGGACTAAAAATGTACAACCTACTGCCTTTGGAAATAAAGAATTGCCAGTTTAAAGACATTTAACAATCTCTTAAAATAGCTTTTACAGTGAAAAAGAATATTGTGATATATGCCATTAAATCTTATTTGTACTATATGACTGTTCTTTTTTGTTAGTTATAAGTTTTTTAGACTTGAAAATGTATGACAATTCGCATACAATATTTTTTGTCAAGAGGAAATGAATAAAAAAGATATGGAAAATTGGAAACAAGAAGTTAGGGTAACACATAGATAGTCTGCATTTTCTCATACTTTGTATACCTCTTCAGGCTGTGTGGAAATCATCACAAATTGTTTTTTCCATCCTATCACTTTGATTTATTCAACAGAACTGTTCGTTTTTCTACCTTTTATTAATGGGAAAAATTGAAAGTAACAAATCAAGGTCACAAATAGATAGCTTCAATAAACCCAAACTTCTCGGAACATGCCCCGGCTACGTGGAAATAATTGCGAATCGTTTTTCCATCCTGTCATATATATATTTTGAATGAAACATCTCTCACATGTATTATTTTAGAATTCTTGGTACTGTAGAAAAAAACTATACAGATTTAGTATACCCAAAACATTGAGAGTAAAATGGATAATAATAAAATAATGATTAACCGTGCAACTCTGCTTGTTATAGTTTAAAAAAAAATGTTAGATAACACTTTTATTGGTGTAGAGTACAGATTCCTCATTTGCTACTATTACTTTTATTTTAATTGATATTGTTCTATTCTGTATTTCAGAGTTGTTGTAGAGGCTGTTGACCATCAAATGTTAGTATTTGATCAAGAAGAAAAAGTTGAAGAATTCTTTTTCCGTGGAGTTCAGCAGAAGGGTCGCGACTTCCTTAAAAAGTCTCATAAGAACATGCATTTTATGTTTGATAAGGTATTTCCTCCCCAAGCAACAACAGCAGAAGTATTCCAGGAAACTACTCTGTCACTGATTGATTCACTCATGGACGGACGCAATTGTTCTGTCTTTGCTTATGGAGCAACTGGTGCAGGTATGGTATGATTCAGCATTCTTTAGAGGTAGAAATTTTAGAAAAATTAGCTACCGACATATACTTTGGTATAGTGACATTTTAAGCATATAATAATATGTTATTAAGCAGCATTACCTTGACAGGATACAGATGCTGCTGCTGATGCGAAGCTAGAGGCTAATAAAGTATAAAAAGTCATCATCGCTTCAATCTTGTTGAAGGACCCAACTAAAGGCTGAAGCTTTTTTTTCACCTAACTATATATACATATATATACACCTGCATTCCAGACAAAAACTTCTGTTGGGTAGAAATTTCAGGGCAATTTTTTTCTCAAAACTTTTGTCTAATGTGTTATTAGTAACTGTTCTCTGCCATTTCAGGTAAAACATACACAATGACTGGAACTCAAGAGACTCCAGGCATCACATTCCTGACGATGAAAGAGCTCTTCAAGAGGTGTGAAGAATTGAAAACCACCCGTGACTTTAAATTAAACATCACCTACCTAGAAGTGTACAATGAACTTGTAAAGGATCTGTTGAAACCTGGGGCGCCATTGAACCTGAGAGAGGATTCGAGATTCGGTGTTATGGTAGCTGGCATTGAGGTGTGCAAGATTGAGTGTGCAGACGATTTGTTCAGGCTTCTGGAAGAGGGTAATAAGAACAGGACGCAACACCCGACTGATGCAAATGCTGAGAGCTCTAGGTCACATGCTGTTTTTCAGGTGTACATTCAGATGACGATAAAGACATCACAAGAGGTAATTAGAATGGTTACAAAGAACACATAGAATACTCAAATTATACCTAGGGGTATTTGAAATGCGCCACTTACAAGTAGAACGAGTATGCTATAATGAGCTTACTTCCCTTCCAATTGTTCTCGAAGCCTTCTTAAAGAATTTTGATTATCATGTACTCTAAACTTCAATGCCCCTAACTAAGCTATATTTGATAAATTTATCGCACATTTGTTATTCACCAGGAATGCATACAATACATTTAACTTCCATTGGTTGCGTTTTAATACTAAAGTCGAGCGGGAGAGTGAATTCATTGGTTCTATTTTAGTGCACCACATTAACCACCAGTCAGAATGAGGAAGTTTCCTATGTCTTGAAACGCACTTAAAATGATATTCTGAGTAAAGTGAAGTACAGCACTTAACAATTTTTTTCAATATCCTAAAAAATGACAGAATTGCAATGGGGGTCTCAATAAGAGCGCCAGATTTGATTTTCAAGAAAAACACAATTTCTTTTCGAATTAAGCGAGTATTTATATTTCAACATGAAGAGGAATAGTTGCGATTAAACATGAAACAGGACATCCGGTAAATGGCCACCACGAAACCTCTGTCAGAGGGTCAGTCTTTTCTTTAAATTCTGGAAAACGTTTTCGCACAATTGTAGCTTTATTTCGTCGATAACGCGCCGTATCTCTTCTTTAAGGCGTTCAACTGTTTGTGGCTTGTTCCCATTAAAATTTTCTTTCACATAGCCCCACAGGAAGAAGTCCATTGGCGTTAGATCGCACGATCTTGGTGGCAAATTTTGATCGCCAAACCGAGAGATGACACGGTCTGGAAACTTGGTCGCACCGTCTTGTTGAAAGAAGATATCCTCCTTATCAATTCGATCCAACTAAGGCCACAAAAACTCTGATAATATTTCGCGATACCGCACACCATTACCGTAGTTCCAGATGCATTTTCGAAGAAATACGGTCCAATCACTCCACAATGCCCACCAAACGGTAACCCGCGGCGGATGCATTGGTTGTTCGATTATTTCAGAAGCCCAAATTCGGCGTGTCTGGTTATTAACGTACCCGTTCAGTTGAAAATGTGCCACATCAGAGAAAATGATTTTCTTCGAGAAATCCGCATCAATTTGGTGGTGCTCCAGCGCCCAATCAATGAAATCACGCGCTGCGCATGGTCCGTTGACTTGAATTCTTGCAACAGTTGAATCTTGTACGCATGCAAGCACAGATCTTTCGTCAAAATTCGTTGCAAAGTGCCTGGATTCTTGGCCATACTTTTTCGCACCGCGACTATATTTTCGAGGGACCGACCAGGACTGCGACGAACAAAGGTCTTCACATTCAGCAACGTGAATTTTGTCGCACATTTTGTAATTAAACGGTGAACTGTCGACTCATTTGGCGCATTATTGCGACCGAAAATTGTACGTGATTTGCGAACTGTTTCCGCGTAATTTTCTCCATTTTTGTACTGAGTTTTCACAATAATTAAACGTTGCTCGTATGAATACTGCTCCATGACTTCTAATCGCGTGGTCTGGAGATGACAGCCGTCATCAAGTAAACACCATACCATTTGTACAACAAAATGGCGGCAAATTCAAATCCGGCGCTCTTGTTGAGTCACCCTTACTACTCAGTTTCTTATTTGGAGAATTATCTTGTTAGAGCGAGAGTCTGATTGATGACGTCACATGACACCACTGGCACTGCTTTGTATTTACGATGTACAGTAAAAAATGGGTTAGACCACTGACTTACAAATACTGTACTGGGTGTACAAATACAGGTATATCAGCTCCAGGAAAATATGTTTACTTGTGCCAAGCATGGACGATAAATTTGCATATTATCACTGTTCTGCTGTAAATATCATTTTTCTGTTAGTAGCTATTTAGTTAATATGGTAAAGATGATAAAATAAATATTAGTAATTGATGTAAACGAGAACGGGGGATAGATTTGATTGTTGCTTTTATTTCGAAATAATGTCAATCTTGTTGTAGTTGGAGGGATAATACTCTTTTGAGCCTTATCTGTATCGATGTGGAGATGCATAGGCGTGGTTCACGATCCGAACAACCTGGCCATAAGTGCAGACAATTTGTAGAATCAGCTAATGTCACGTTTTAAAATAATCGGTTGTGTTGAGATGTGGCAAAGTGGATTGCCGGGTCAAACGTATGTTTAGTTGTTATGATATGGCATTGTATTACTTGCCAATCGTCACATTCTACTACACTTGCCGTTTAAATAAAAATGTTATGAAGAACTTGGATCAGAACGTTAATTCTACGCCATCCTGAACCGGTCACACATCACAGTAATAATTCTTAATTTCACGCTAATCGGAACATGGAATTCTAATTATATCAATACAGTAGCGGACAAAAGCTTCGAAACATTCTTAGTATTTTCTAAAAGTGCGCTTATTTTTTATTCTTTATTAAAGGACTATTTTTTTCTCATATAGTTTGCTTACAGTCTTGAGGATACAAATGACAATTTTTGTTTGCTGTGGTACCACAGACTAGCATTAAAATACCTTCATATTATTTTATGACCAAAAATAAGACGACAAAAGGATGGAAACATATTTTTTATTTCAGAATTTAATACAATAAATCTATAAAAAGATTTAAAAAATACTGTTTGGCTAATATTTGGCAACACTGCCTAAAGAAAACACCAATGTTTTACAGACGTCTGTTGGTATATTTTGCCAAATATTTGTTACATAATTAAATGAATCGTTCGTATTTTTGAAAGTTTTTTCTTGTCAGTTGTCTTTTAACATGCTCCCAGAGATGTTCTATAGGGTTTAGGTCCGGGGATTGCGAAGGCCGTGTAAGAACATTAACATTTTTTAGTCTTAACTAGTCCTTTAGGAATTTTGAGGTATGCTTAATGTCATTATCTTGCTGGAATGTCCATCTTAAATGTATTTCTTCTCCAGCAAAAGGGAGCACGAGTTAACTAAGAATATTTTTGTAAAGATTTTTGATCCATTTTCCCCACAATTTTAATAATTGGACCCGTCCAGAACTAGGAAAACAGCCCCAAACCATGATGTTGCCTCCACCCTGCTTAACTGTTCGCAACTGATACTTTTGAAGTGAGAGGCTTTTGCACGGGACGCCTACCAAAAAGCCCAAAATCCACCAAGCGTCTCTGCACTGTTCTGACAGAAAAATCCTCGGCACCCTCTTCTACGATTCGTTTTGGCTAGCATTCAAGGATCTTCATGGGACAAACGTTTAATGCAGTGATCCAAAACATAATCGGTTTTTGTTCATTTTTAATCTTTGAGGAATGTCAACATTTCGGACATGACTTCTAAATGATTCTATTACTTCGTCTCTTAAATCTTTCGAATATTCTTCTACTTTTGCCATTCTCTCTGATGTTAATATTTATTGCACCCCATATCAGAGTATCGCAGAACGAATAAATACGGCAAAACTGAAATGTTTCCATAATTTTGTCGTTACAAAAACTGTGATATTTAAAAAAACGTGTGTTTTTAGTTCCAGGGTATTTGAATATTGATAAGATAAAGCTTGTATTAGTACGGGAGTCCAAGGTAGGCTTTAATATTTATATTATCTGTTCCTTCACAATTTTAATTTGGGTATATGAAATAGTCCATAATAATGTTAATATTTGTTTCCAAACTTTTGTCCGCTGCTGTACATAATTTAGCTTTAGTATGGCAGCTCACACGTCTGTCGCATATAAACATTTAGTCTACAGAAATCCTAACGCTCTTAATTTTGACTTCAATACTTGATTAAACATTTCAAATCCCCCAGTCACTTCAAAAAAATTTCAATATTGTAAATAAACAGGTGACGATAACCCAAATAGATTTTAGCATAACTCGTATATAAAGAATTTTGTTCCATCAGATCCGAACAGCGAAATTGAGCATGATCGATCTAGCGGGTAGCGAGCGAGGTTCAGCAACAAACTATGTCGGAGCTCGGTTCACAGAGGGCGCAAACATCAACAAATCCCTGTTGGCTCTGGGGAATTGTATCAACAGCCTGGCAGATGGACTGCGACATGTGCCCTACAGAGATTCCAAATTGACCAGGCTGCTCAAAGACAGTTTAGGTGGCAACTGCCAGACAGTCATGATAGCCAATGTGTCTCCGTCGTCTCTCAGCTATGAAGATACGTATAATACATTGAAGTATGCTAGCAGGGCAAAGGTAAGTTTGTAAAATGGTTAGTCAAAGGTATTTTCATCATGAAGTGTTAGTTGTGCATTTTTTTGTTTGTTTGATGCCAAGATATACTTCATGGCACCACTAGAGAGGTCACCCGCTTAGAGCGTAAAATCGAAATTAATGCATACTTGTACACTGATTTTCTTCATGGTCACTTTCCTCTCTTATATACTCTCCACACCCTTCCTTCTTGCCTTACGATTGCTACTGAAGAATAGAAGAGAAGGTTATATGCCAACACCTCATATGGAAGAGGTCCGCGAGTGCACGTTGTGACTTGTGATCCGTTTCAAGTGGTCTGAAATGGTCGCAATACCCACATCAAGCTCTTCCGCAAGCTCACGAACAGGGCCTTTAATTCGTCGTCGTCGATATCATGTGGCCGACCACTGCGCTCTTCATCTCCAAGGCTCTGGTCACCGCTGCGGATTTTTTTTAACCGTCATTGTGCCGTACGTTCGTTAGTGGTTCGTTACCCAAATGCATCATCGATATCGCTAGCTGTCTCAGCAGATTTTTGACCTTATTTTAACTGGAATAAGGGAATCGTGGGAATTTGCATCTTGTCTATCCTATATTTGCAGTCCCGGAAAAAAAATCAAATTATGGTAAAACAAAATGAATACAACGGCTAGATAGAGCAAAAAAACGCAAAAAATGATATGTAAAGTCAAGGTATTATGAATAAATTTTAGTGTAAAATACATCATTTAAAATATAAATAACAAAAACCGCAAAAACTTTCCGAACAACCTAATTGTTATTTTTTGGTACAAGCCAAGCATCACTAGATCCTACTGGGGCTAGCATCACACTGTAGAACTAAAGTACTTGTGGCGAAGAATCAAACGAGGCCCTATTTGATAGGTTTGCATCGATTTATTACAGAGTTTCCATGACCATCTCCTGTGTCGATCACCACATAAGCTCCATGTCATAATAATATTGCACTGTCATTAAACGACCGCTATATTGGATTTAGAATGACGTCACTTTGTCGTGTTTTTCTCATCAAGCACTTCCATTTTTTGCCAAAATATGACTATGGAAATTACAAATGGCCAGTTTGCCCTTATCTCACTGCGTGACCACGATGCCATAGTCCGCACTTTACAGTGTCAATACGAATGAACAACTAAATCAACAGACATGCTGCTGGCGACTACTAATGCACTCATGGATATGTCTCAACATGCAGCCTCCCGCGTCGTTTGTTAAGTCATATTGCAAATCTTTTATAGTATCCTTTGAATAAGTGGTTAGCGGCACCATGTACATCTGTCCGTTTTCGCGCAGGCATGACTTCTATTCAATCAGTCAAAGTTACTTTAATAGACAAGAATGTAAAATTACAGAAAATGGATTGAAGAAAAATATGTAACCGAATCATTATACAAAATTGACATTGTAACATCACTAAATAAATCTTCAACAACAACAACAACAATAAGTTTATACAAGAATATATTTCAGAAAATCAAAACCACTGTTAAGAGGAACGTCGTGAATGTAGAATTACATGTATCCCAATATGTAAAAATAGTAGAGCAGCTAAAACAAGAGAATGAACAACTGAAGAAACAGAGACAGGAAGACAACGAACAAAAGCAGGATTTACAGAAAAAATATGAAGAACTAAAGCAACAGTTGGCTTTGGCTCAAGAGGTTGAACAACGTGTAACGACAAACGTAACAGAGCCTGTAAACATACAACCAACAACGACTTCCGAGATTTTGGATATAACACAAGTGAAGTCTACAGTAGATAATACATATGTTAAAAACACAGATGTAATGGAGAAGGTAAATGAGCTGGTGGAAGAGAAAAAGAAGATTTTGTCAAGACACTTCCACTTGTTGAAACAAGAAGTTGGACTAGTCGCTAGAAGGTAGGATGATATTTGTCTTGTCCCTGCATATGGTCAAATAATCCAATGATTCTTATACCACTTGCGATGACTTTTAGGTTCAAGCGCAATTTTCAACTTTTTGCAGCCCAATTCTTGAAAACGATGGAGTAGTAGAATAACCAATAGAAAGCCGGTGTAGTTCTATTTTACCTGTGTCGACTTTTACTCATAACTTTCGACATTTATTAAATAAGACCGTGAATGTATCCATTTTCGGCATAATATTAACGGTCTTTTTGGTTTTTCATACCATTAAATGTTTGCTGGTCTGTTAGTTATCGAGGAAATAATCCGAAGATAGATCTGAATATTGCCCAAAGAGTACAATCATTCTTAATAACATAGACTCAGTGACTTTAGAAGTGTTAAACCCAGAAAAAAATATTTCTTCAACTTGTTTTTTTTTGGCAACATAATGACTATATTTAAAGCATGGTCTGGCAATAATGTCAACGCTTTATCTTTGTTAAAATGTTTTTGTGAAGAAAGCAGTTTCTGAGAGCTGATTAGTACAGATATTTTTAGTTATTGCCCTTTCATTTACTAGTGTTTTATGATTTATGTTTATTAAATAATTGATATAGACTAAGAATAGGATCGGACCTAATACTGATCCTTGAGGTACCCCTACCTTTATACTCATTTGAAATTCAATGTCTTGATAATTTTACAATTTGGTATCGATTATTTAAATAATATGTTTCAAACCAATCGAGTTTCAGTACAACCATATTTGTTAAAATTTTTAATAGTATATTATGATATACACAGTTAAAAGCTATGGAAAAGCCGCAAAAAAGAGCAATGGAAATTCGTTTATCGTCTAATTTGGGTATAATAATTTGTAACGAATTTTATTTCAAGGAAACGTTAATGTACAGTTCATCAAAAAGTAATAGAACTGCAACCACTTTTTACTAATTATTCTACTCTCGTATTTCTACAAATGGTTATATTTATTTTTAGTTAGGATTTTGAAGTATTTTAAAGTACAATTTGTTGCAGGATATTGAAAGAAGAATTAGACAACAGACTGAGCGACATAATGACTGATACAAATGATAAGGAAGAACTACGTTCTAAATTAAATAAAACTATAGATAGGTTTAAGAGGCAAGAAGATGCATATAAAGATGGCATTGACCAATTAGCAGTTATCATGAGTGACATTGACAGTCAATTCGATAGTCTGACGGAAAAGTACCCTGATTTTAGAAAGGTGATTGAAAATAGGAAGAAAGACTTGGAATTTACAGAACTTGAACATAAGGTGAGTATGCTGTGCGCCTAACTTAATTTGACCAAGTAATGTAATTGCAAATTTTCGAAAATGTTTTGGACGTGTGCATAACGAAAAACCATGTCACACATCCTTGACCTCTCTATAACTTGGTAAGCAAGCTCAGATTTCGACTGAATTTTGACACAAGGACAAAAGAGCTTTGTGGGGTTTGGAAGTCGATCCAGTGGCGGCTGAACTACGCGTAAAAGACGAAAAAATATGAATCAAACTTCTTTTTTTGACGTTTGAGAGAAACATGGTGTATTATGTAAAAAACATATGCCTACTACAAGTGATCGTGAAGTGAATGTCGACTAGTTCAAAGGTGACAATTTTATAGGAAAACCTACATAATGTAATGGAAAATCGATTTGTCACTTTTAAGTTACGCAATACGGGTGCCGATCATTTTCAGAACTTTTTTGGGAGGTTTGAAAGTGTTGGGGGATGTAAACGTAGCTTCTTTGGTATCAGTACCATTAAGAAGCTTCTGATCCCGATAATATTACGCTTTTATTAGATAAAATAGTCATACGTATTATTGCTCTTCACCTGTAAACCATGTTTTACTAGCGAAAAATTTTCAAAAGAATTTACGTTTTTTTTTCATGTTATCTGATATGTAGGTCACGAAAATGCATGTCACTTATTTCCGTCGGTCTGTCTGTCCGTTAATCCTTGGTCCGTCTATAACTTGGAAAATACACCGCTCGGCTTTGGATGAAATTTTCGCACAAGGTTACTACTATGCCATGGACAAAATACCTTTGCAGTTGTTTATGGCAGTGGAGAAAAATACCGAAAACGGTATACATGGTCGTAGCTAACTTTTTTTTCAGACGACCTAACTTGTGCCGTACACAATTCTTTGCGAACTGATGGCAACATTGCGTGGGAAATATAGTCAACTTACTCGACGCATTTTTTTAACCTAATATTATCTAATTCATAACAGAATTGTGTGGAAAGTACAGAGTCATCCTCCATGACGCCATTTCTATGTGCGGCGTCTAATCTTTTAAGAAAAGGAGAAAATTTCAAGAGAAGTAGTTTTGGGTCCAGAACAAAACCCCCATCCTTCTTAGGGGGTACATTCTAATTATAGATGGCCGATATCATTATTTTTGAATATCTGTGAGATATATACCGTTAATTTTTGATATCAATGATTTAAAAGCGTGACGTGATCACGACTTTCGAATAACGAAGGGTGAGTCCCGCTGATCCGATTTAGGGGCGGATCGCGCCGTAAACGGTGCAGGTGCAGTGATATGTAAAGCCATAATTACTTCTAGTATCATTCAATATTTGTTAAAGGTTTTGTGTTATATTTTCGCATCGTCTGTAGTGTCGCACAGAAAATGGTAAGTTTTTTATACATATAATTGATCTGACACATGCTTATTGAGAGTAATTTATAATTTGGACAGCCAACTCAATCGTCGCGGGTTCATTGTAATCTATAAAAGGAGGGGTTATGGTTATACCTATTTACTCGATAAAATCGCGTTGCTCGAACTACCAAAACCTATAAGGCACTACAAATCGGTGTACATATTCAGGTTGGAGGAAGATATTTTGAACAATAATTGTTGTGATGATTCTAAAGTTTAAAGCGTCTTAGGGCCGTAGAGCTGTAGTGACACTTTTCCGGATATTGGTCCCTATACTCAAATGTTTTCTACTAACCCCTACAAGTTTGATCCCGTAGTTCTGAAACACCCTGTACAGGGAAAACCAAATTTGTCTGACCGCTTGAATTCAATGTGTACGACAGCGAAGCGCGAGAAGTGTGTATCAACACATGTTTGAAAGAGATAGAAGCCGGCTGAAGGTTATTGTCAATGGTGACGCAGAAGGTCGTGCAATCTGCGTTGCCAATATGTGACAACAGAAAATGTTTGCACATGCTTCTACAATAGGTTAGGTTACTGTCTAACCTAAGAAGGAGGTCTGCTCGATCATTTAATTTAATTTTTATTCATTTTGATTAAAATTGCTTAGTTCAATTTTGATGCGACTCAAAATAAAAGCATTTTTTGTTGTAAAGAATAAACTAATGTATATTTTCAATATGTATCTTAATTGAAGGAACTGGTATAACATATTGGCAACGCGGCAGATTGCCGCGTCAGAGTTGCTAGGCAACGCGGTGATGAGCTTCAGTATCCAGCCAGCTTCTATCTCTTTCTAACATATGTGTCTATACATGCTTCTATCTCATACACAATGAGTTTAAGCCGTCACACAAATTTGGTTCTCAGTGTATGCACCTCTAGCTCTTGACTCCCAGATATGCTTCCAGATCATGTAGCTTTGGAGAACTAAATAAGCCAGAGCGTTACTTTTGCAAAAGTATCTATCTGTGATAATTATTTCGTGTGTTTTTAATATATTTCAGTTAGAACTGCAGAAAGAGACAGCTCAAGTGGCAATGCGGGACCATGGAGACCATTTGACGTTGCTAGAAAGGATGGCGTCTACCCTCAAATCGTACTACTTGCAACTCAAGGGCCACGGCTTGCTCTCTACAAATGCCATCAAGGAATATGATGACATTTTAACAGCCTTCAAGGGCAAAAAGTATTTGACATGGGAAAGTAACTTGGATTCAGGAGTCAGTTCTTTGACAAGTATTGATATGCCAGTTGATCAAGTTAAAAATACTGGTGAGTGATCTTGCATTGAGTAGTTTTAATTAATAAGCTAAACAAATAAAAAAGGCGTCAAGTAGGTTGATGGCGCACTTCCTACGCAATGCTGTCATCAATTCGTAAGAGATTATATTCGGCACACGTTAGTCTCTCGTAGAAAAATATTTGCTTCGAACCTGTATAACAAAGGATTTACGTGGATCATCCAGTAACGTGGCAATCCACCACGGGGTTAAATTATGCACGAAAATTAGGGCTCAGTCATCCTTAGCCATTCAAAGTAAAAAGACGCGCGCTCGATGAGTTGTCCGGCGTACTTCAACAATATATAAATTTATAATTCAACTTTTAAGGGCAAATGCAGCAATTACCTGGCCTGGAAATGTATAAGTTGCTAGCACAAAATTGACATATACTCTCCCCCACCACTACAACCTCCATCAAAACCCCTGCAATTTTTTTTCTGAAAATGATCAGGAGGCTCTGAAACGTCAAAAAACTAAGTATGAGCGTGTTTTATTTTCCCTCAGGTTTGTGTGACCAATCAAATCACGTGTTTAAAATTCGTTTTTATTGTATATGCTTCGGCCATCAGTGACCTCTTCAGTACATTGATACTTTTTGACGTTATTTACAATAATAAATATAAACAATAAATATTTTTAAAAAAAGTGTCAATGTACTGACTGAAACCTTTAAAATATAGAATTTTAAACTCGTTTGGTGTGATTGGCCAGACCAACATGGGGGATTAACGACATGAAAACCACAGGATACGTTTCAGATGTTACATTCATTTTTTGTCAATCTTATCCGCGAGACTGCCCCCCGAGAATCCATAATTATTTAGTGTTGACTTAGCGTCTTGATGCAATAAACAACACTGCCAAAATTCAGCAAAAACGGCTCAAAGATCTTGAGGTGCTGATAAAAAAACATTTTTATAGACTCTGTACCTTGGAAACCAGATGTTTTGGGACACATGTCTACAAGAACTTTTCTACTTGAATTTAGTTCAGGAATGCTCCCTTGTAATTACGGCCTATCATTAACACTTTATACAGGGTTATCCAAATTAAGTGTCCACCATTAGTAACTTTGTTATTAGTGAAAATACAAAGTTGTTTGAATTAGCAAACTAGTAGCATTTTTAACGCTGGTAAAAATGAGAAATAAAAAAAAACAATTGAGAGTCGTTATTTTGATTTTTTTCAGTAAAATAACATTTTTTTAAATGGAAACCCCTGTATATTATATTTTTTTCTGTTAAAGCATCAAATTTTAAACAAAAAAGTTCATAATGACTTTTCCGCTAAAGTCAAAAATAAAGTCAAAATAACGATAAATATTTTTAATTATTTGCAGTATTATAATATTAAGACGGCTATGAAAACAACATGGCGTTCGCGATTTGACAGCATTAAGATAAGCGACAAATTGTTAAACTGGACATACTCGCAACTAGAAGGCTTTGGAAAACAATGATAAAATCAAATAATGTCAAACATTAGTGTAAATACTTGTTTATAAGCTTTATTGTGTCATTAATTTAAAGAAAAATGTTCTCCCATGAAGAAAAGTGTGATATGTTAGAATGCTATTTAGTGTGCAGAAAATCCTCCTTGAGAGCAAGAGAATACTACAGTGAATTATATCCCGCTCGCATTCAACCGTATGAACGATATTTTCTGAGACTTTATCGAAAATTTAGGGGCACCGAAAATGTTTTTGCTAAAACATGGGCAAAAAAAGAATTCATAATAAGCGAGGCCACGGAAATTGCAGTTATTGGATATTTTGAAGCTTATCGTGAGAATTCAATAGCAGATATTCTCAAGGACTCTAATTTCAGTTATGGTACTGTTCAAAGGATTTTAAAAAAATACAAATTTATTCCGTATAAGTACCGACCAGTTCAAACGCTTTTGGCAGGGGATCCAGAGAGAAGACTTGTTTTTTGCCATTGGTATCTTAGCTTCTGTCGCCAAAATGTAAATAACTTTCGTTACCTTTTATGGACAGATGAATCAAATTTTTCAAATTCTGGAATGTTTAATAGAAAAAACCACCATTATTGGTCAAGAGAAAATCTTTTGTTAGTACATCCAAGAGGCCCACAAGTCCGTTTCAGTTTCAACGTTTGGTGCGGTATAATTGGTTCAAAAATTGTTGGCCCGTTCTTTTATGAGGGAACCCTAACTGGTGAAAGATATGTGGAATTTATGTCAGAAATTCTGACTAATTTCTTAGACGAATTGGATCTTATAAGTAGACATCATCTGCATTTTCAGCAAGATGGCGCACCTGCCCACAACTCCAGAGGTACTTATCATTTTCTAAGTACTACTTTTAATGATCAGTGGATAGGAACAAATGGCCCAATACAGTGGCCTCCCAGATCACCAGATCTAAACCCACTTGATTACTTCTTGTGGGGTTACGTAAAGAACCAAATTTACAAGCGAAGGTACGATAACCTTGACGCGTTAAAGACTGCAGTTAGGGAAAAGATAACCCAGATAGATGGTAGGACCATACTTAAGACAGTTCGAGCAGTTGAAAAACGTGCCCAAAAATGTATTGAAGAACAAGGTGGTGTTTTCGAGCATCTTCTTTAAAAAAAATTGTTATTGTATTTTGTAAGATTATAAGTTGATGTTGAAAATAAAGTTTGTCGATACAATTTAATTGTTTCAGATTGGAGGCCATAACTTCAACAATTTGTAACCTAGGAGAAAAGTTATTGTAAGCTTTTTTGTTTAAAATTTGATGCTTTAACAGAAAAAAATATAATATACAGGGGTTTCCATTTAAAAAAATGTTATTTTACTGAAAAAAATCAAAATAACGACTCTCAATTGTTTTTTTTTTATTTCTCATTTTTACCAGCGTTAAAAATGCTACTAGTTTGCTAATTCAAACAACTTTGTATTTTCACTAATAACAAAGTTACTAATGGTGGACACTTAATTTGGTTAACCCTGTATAGCCCAAGGAAAAAGAAAAAAACGGGGGTTCTGGAAAGCTAAAAGCAGATTTTTTACCTCCAACGACACAAGCGCCGCCTAGCGAGAGCAAAATTAGTCATCGTTGTCATTAGGAAAGTAGTAGTTTTGATCTGAAAACCTAAGACTAATATTAAAAATTTTCACATTTTAGATGACTTTATTAATTTTTTGTAATGTTCCTCCTACAGATGCACTATACGAGCGCTCCAAGCTGCCACTGCAAAAGCCCAATTGGGTTTTTTATACAGGGTGTTTTCATTATATGGGGCAAAAATTGAAGGGGTAATTCTTTGAATTATTCGTATTATCTACTGACGATTGTCGAAATACATAATTGATATCAACTTAATTAACTAACTTTAATGAAAGCAATAATCACAAGTGCTTTTATCAAAGACGGTTCAGTCAATCGATATTAAATAATACATATTTAACCAAAGCATTATTTGATCCAAAAATATGTGCCATTATTATACAGGATGTAAAAAATAAGGTATTAATCACAATTAATAATAATGTGTCGCAGTGAGAAAAATTTTAGCAGACTCTTTCACTTATCTGCAAAGCAGAAAGGAAAAAATGGCGTCAAGTAGGTTGACTGCACTTCCTACGTAACACCGTCATCGAGGATTAAATATCGCGCAATTTGAATTCTCTGTGAAAAAAGTCAGTTACGAGTATGTACAACAGATAAATTAAATGAATCAAGTTAGTCAAATAGGCCCGTACAATTAGTCCATGCATATTTTTTCCTTGCCCTGCCGGTAGTTAGTCTGTCTCTTTCCACATCTGCGCGGCACTGCTGCAGTGAGTTATCGTTCATTCCGTGTATATGTAGGAAGTAAAATACAATGTTACAAAAAAAGAGCTAGTCTGTATTTGGCGATCTAAATGAGTTGATTGTTTTCCGTGGATTTCAGTTACCATGCTGTCAAAATTTTGTTTAATTGAATAGTGTTGCTCAAGAGTTTTCAATGAAAAACTGATTTTCAGGGTCGTTCTTTATGGGACTGCAGGGTTATGTTTTATTCAAAAAGTTTAAAACAAGTGTTTTAAACAGTGTTTAAAACAATGAAGGTGTTTTAAACCAATTTGTTTTAAACTGTTTAAAACATGTTTTAAACACTTTTATTTTATTTAAGTATGATTAAAATTGATTTTATTTTGCAAAACGAAACTAAAAGGGTTAGGTTAAAACACATAGGTACTAAAAAATATACTTTATTTTTTATTGATTAGTCAAACTTGAAACTAGGGAAATACTAGTGGAAAAAAATCTGTTTTTTAACGAACAAGTGAACTTAATAAACTGCATTGAACTCTAATACTAGTACACTACAAGCAGCAGAATAATCATATAATATGACTATGTATTTACTGTATATAGTAACATTAAATAAGTTACTTAACAAATTTCTATAAAGGTATACAACTCATCTTATTTAACAAAAAATCCATATTTTTAAAATATAAAATCATGGAAAATGTATATAGAATAAATTCACTACCTTTTACGGAACTACAAGTGAAAAAATGTACCTTTTTCACAATTCTCCAAGCTACTAAACTTTGAGGAATTAGGTCCGGTAGAAACATCATTATTGTCTGTATCAGAACTATCTGATATATGAATATTTTGTTTTTCTAACAAACTTCCTTTTTTAAGTTGTTTACAATTTTTAATATGCTTGCGCATTCTAGCCACCAGTGGCACTATATCCATATTGCAGGTTAAACATTTTGCTCTTTTATTAATTTTCGAGCCAGCTTTAGCATCAGTCTCCTTAAAATATTTCCACACGGGATCCTTTCTCCTCCCTGTCATTGCCTTTCTTTTTTTGCCGATCTTTAATGCACAAAACACACCACCACGCTACGACTTCACACATTTGACTGCTGGAGATCGCAACGCGAAAAATTACCCAAGGCAGAGCCTACTTGCACACACACCGATTTTGGACGGCCGGTAAAATATCGACCGATTTTTTATCGGTAGGCTCTGCTTACACACGCGCCAGTTTTTTACCGGTGCAGTGCTGATTTCCAATATTATTTTTAATAAATCCCCAACGAGTTGTTGCAATGTGGTTACTGTATCAACGTATAAAGCGTCGTAGAATTAAGCGAAAGTTCTGGATTCATTTTCCCCTTTGGACTCCATTTCTTTAAACTCCTCATTCAGTTCGCAGCAAACTTGGCTCCATGCTTCTCTAGTAGCGTTTCTGCCTTTAAATATGTCCAAAGTTTTATCCCATAAAACTGGTCTTGCTTCCATTAGCGCAATAAGTATGTCATTATCCATGTTCATCTCTTTATCCATTGTAAACGTATGTGCAGTCGTAATCACGGCCATTAACTAATAGGTGTGCAAGCTCCTAATCCAAACACCTATGCCTCTATATTCCCGGTACCGGCGCACCACAGTGACAATGTCCGGCTGCTAACCGGCTTTTTTCCGGTGCCGGTCGGTGGTCGACCAGTGTGCAAGCTTCAATGCCCTCCAATGGTTTTACTATTAAAATGTGGTCGGCCGATATTTCACCGGCCGTCCAAAATCGGTGTGTGCGCAAGTAACCAAAAAACGGCACTTCCCCGACGTCCGCTTTTAAATTAGAGATGTGATCTGATAGAGCTGGATCTAAATAGTAATAACACTTTCAAGGAACTTAATTAACGTTGCTAGATTATATAGGCAATAGTTTTTTATTTTTTTTACTGTTTTAAACATGTTTTTATTTCAGCTAAATTTGAATGTTTTAAACAAAAAAAAAACATTTTTGTTTTTTTAAAAATGTTTTTTTTCAACTCTGTGGGACTGCATCTCCAAAACAAAGCGATATTTCGAAAAACGCCAGAGGACAAAAACAAATCTTAGAAGAGAATCACTCCATGATGATCATGCTTTCAAATTTTTCAGGCTCAAAGAGGAAGATAGAAGAAGATGACGAACCTGCACAGCAAAGTTCTCCATCCATGGACAGAACATTTTCCATAGCTGTTTTAAGCCCTATGCCGAAACCAGTGAAGGAAGCTAAGCTATGTAACTTGAACGCTCAACAGATTATAGCTAAAGGTGGGCATTGCCTAGGGGCCATTGCTTTTGAACTTATGAATGGAGTGTTTTGTAATATTACGTTTAAGAAAAATTGAAACACGTGTACATGTCCGAAATTAAAATTTCGCTTATGTAGAAATGGCCTCTTTTTGTGTCAGTAATGTGTAATATTGAAGTTTATGATGGACGAATCGCATCATGGAACTTTTGAGTGATTTTGTGTAAATATGTCCAAAACAGAACGAACGTGTATCGCTATCCGAATCATTCTTCTATTTAGCACTGATGACAAAGTCTTGATGTGTGTCATGGCGCCCGATGGATATTTCTGTGAAAAGGCTTCCAACATTATTTATTTTTTATTACCTCACGACGTCATAAATGACAAAATACAGTAAATCAGAAAAGTATTGACACGCCTTATTTTTTTCTTGAATCTCAACAACAAAAAGATGAATCTTGTGATACCAAATTTATTTGAAAACTAACATCCAAATAGTTATTGTTGATTGCAATAGGAGTAAGTTGAAAATAATATAAGAGTAATAACAGGAACTATAAAATCTAAGGCTCAAAAAAATATTGGCACTAAAAAACAAACAAGTAAATGAGTATTAACAAAATTTATTTACGGCTAGTACTTTGTTATACCATCAATTATGGCATAATCATGGCCTGAAACCATTATGGCATGAAATTCTGAGTTATTTCGGCATAGGAACATCTTGTCACTATCGTTTGGCAGAAATTTCTGTTTTTCGGGCCTTCAGGTCCAGAAAGTAGCACAAATTTTAAATGCGAATTATGTCCGAGAATTACGGTGAAGTTTTGAGTTGTTCAGGAACATTATAAAGTAACCATTTTTTGGTCAAGTAGCGGTGTGATCGTTATCCTGTTGAAAGATAAATGTATGATCCTCATTTTTTCGGTACTGGTATTCAAATTATTGCAATGTCAACATACTTGAATGCATTCATAATGCCTTCGAAGCTTACCAGACATTTTGAACATTTCGGCTCTGATGGTCGCAATTATATATGGGCAAAACGTTACACTTAATTTGAAAATTGAGACATTTCAGCCCAACAGTGAAACATGGTAGCAGGAAAGTTTTAGTCTGGGGTTGCGTGACGTGGAATGGTATTGGAAAGCTAAGCTTCGTCGAAGCAATTATTGATGGAGAAATAGGAGTGTTGATATTTTGCGCAATATTTTAAAAAGCAGTGCTGAAGAATCGTAGATCAGGGAAAAATTTTCTTGCCAGCAGGATAATGATTCTAAGTAGATTGCCACTAAAATAAAGGATAGTTACTTTATCATTTTTCTGCACAATCCCTGAATATCAATCCCATGAAATATTTGCGGTACTTGCTAGACAAAGTACTAGCTGCAAATAAATTTTGTCAAAATTTATTTGTTTTTTTTAGTATGCCAATACTTTTTGACCCTAGAATTCCATAAATCCTTATTATTCTTATATTAATTTTAAATTGCTCAATTTATTGTCATCAAATTGAATTTGGATGTTAGTTTTCAAATAAATATAGTAACAAAAAATTCATTGCTTCGCCTTGATTCAGGAAAAAATGGTATGTCCAAAAATGTTTCGTTCCACTGTGGTACAAGTTTTCAAATTAATGCTTCAAGCAAAATTAGTTTTTAAAAATATTACATCATCTAAAATAGTATTAGCTGTTAGTTTGGAAATTATTTTGTGAGGCAAAGCACAATGAAATAAAAATATGCAGTCTTATTCAAAAGAAGTTAGACCCTAGAGATACTTTTGCTTGATTCATTTTGTAAAAGGGGCGTATATCGATAGATACCTTAGTGTTACTTTTTGATTTACTTTTTATTCCAGAAATGTCGCCAGTATTTTTGAATCAGCTTGGATGCGCAACAACTTTCTTGTATATTGCTCTAATACCCCTAAATATTTTTTATGATTCTCTTGATATTGCACATAATTTTGCCTTGCTATTCCAGTGTGTGGAAAGCAGATGGCTCAGAAGTTCCAGAAGAAAGAAAACATGCCTGCACCTAGAGCAGTTAATGTTGTAAGGGCAAGAAGTGCAGTGAGGACGAATGTCAAGGCTAAAATTGATACAGGACTAAGATCATTAGGTATGTTTCATGGTCACTATTCTTTTACTTGTTTAGCAATCGCGAGATCGGTTTGATTTTTTTTTGCGGGAAGTTTTGATTGATTTGACAACCATAGAAAGTATATTTTTGCTTTAATTGTCATAAAATAACCACTAACTGTCTCAGCGCTTCACCTGGTGTGTGAAAGTTTATTGAACGTACTAAAAAAATCGACTTATAAATAGGGAGCACAGTTTTGATACATACATTGTTTTTCTTTTTAAAACCCACACTGCACTTTTTTTGTATTTAAAGGTGTTCAAAATGTCGTCCTCCACTTTCCACACAAGCTTCATTACGACGAACCCAGTTTCTTCTTACTCTAGGTTCTCGAAGTTGTCAATTTATTATTTCAGCCGCATTACATTTTTTTCGCAAAGTTGTGCTTCAGTTGTTATTGGACCAGCCCCTTAAACCATCCCTTTAAGTTCTCCCCAATACCAGAAATCCATCGGATTGAGGTTAGATCTTGCTGGCCATTTTCGAGGATCAGGAGCATTTCGACCGATCCAGCGATTTGGATAATGTTCATTCAAATACTGAATGACGCCTCTAAAAATGTGTCATGAGGAAACCACAAATTCTGTCTCCATTATAATGGCATGTTGCCTAAGGTCTATTCCAAAAGTTCTGGTAGGTTATTAGCTAGAAACCTAAGGTATCCTTCTCCTGACAACTTTTGGGGTAACTTGAAAGGGCCAATTACCTGATCGTCAAGAATACCCGTCCAAATATTTATTTTAAAACGTTGTTGGAAATGACCTTCACGAATGATATGAGGATTTCCTTGAGCCCACCTGTGAGTATTATGGAAATTTAATATCCCGTCTCGCGTAAAAGTACATTTGTCCGTCGCTAGAATGTTTTTAAAAAAATCCCGATTTTCAATGTTTTTGTGCAAAAACCACTGACAGAATGTTAGTCTGTGAGGATAGTCTTCTGGTAAAAAGGCCTGCACTCCTTGTACGTGGCAGGGATAAAGCAAATTTTCCCGTAGGATTCTATGGACTATGGTATCCGATAGTCCTACGCGGCGGTCTAATTCCCGAGTGCTGATATCTACATTGATTTCCACGATATTTAAAATTTGTTCCTCCTGCTCTACAGTAACCTGTCTTTCACGAGCGCGAATATTAGTGGGCTGGACACTTCCTGTATCTCGAAGTCTTTGGTACACTTGCACAAATGTCATTCTGTCTGGGTGTACCCGTTGGCGAAATCTGTCGCGATAAATTTGAGCTTCAAGATTTGAATTCTGACGAGCTTCACAACTAACAACATGTCGGCGAACTCTTGATTCGAGAACATGGTAAATAAACACGACGACGTACGCGAACAAAAACAAAACAACATACTAACCACTGTTACCGTTTGCGATCGATTGCCGGTTCGATAAGAGTGATGAAAGAACGACGCGCTGTTGTCATGTGTGTTTTAAACATTTAATCTAATGAAACTTACTTACTGACTACAAATTTTGGCTTATCTTAGAAAAACTTAATGCCATTTATTTGTTAATTACCCAATTTAAAAACGTTTCAGATTAGATTATAAAAATTAGTAAGATTGTGGTCGATATAAAGCACTTAAAGTTCTAAACTATAAAGCCATTTAGACAAAAATCTATTGACTTTTGGACCATGGGTCATATGAAGTTTTTGACTTGTTTTGATCCCCCCCCCCCTATTACCCATTTCAATAATGACTACCATAACGTTTAAATACAATATTTCGTTTTCGAAATTTTACGCGATTAGAATACTTTCTCGCCCAGTGGCGTAGGAAGTGACAGCACCTGAAAACTGCTATATCCAAAATGTGTCGATCCTGCCTTTTACTTAGGTTGCCTGTCAAAACCAGTAACAGAAAGATGTTTTTTTCTTATTGTTTCAGCTAAATCACCAGCCTCAAGGCCTCAAAGAGGATGTTCGAGTCCCCGTTAGCACTAGGTAGGTTATAAAAATGTAATCACATGTATAGTTCTTTTCACGGTTTTTGGCAGGTCACAGTAAAACAACCGGTATCACTATCATCACAGCCACGTAAAAAAGGCAGTGTCTTAACACGTGAGCAAAGTATAAATACTGATCATTAACGGATTATCAGAATTTCACGATTATTATTTTCAATATAGGTATCTACTATAAACAATAGATACATCATACTTGCATTGAATGCGCTAGATGCCCTAAGAAAAATAAATGAACAGTGGTACTGTTTAACATAACGTATGAAAGCCAGTAAAATCTTCAATGATTTACTGCTTTTAGGATTTCGTTTTTTGAAGTAGACAAATTATTACTTTAGTTTTTGAAAAAAATATGTAGTACTATCTTAGAAAATAAGAGTGCTATCTTAATATTCATATTTCTGGCTAGAGTACCTCATCCAACAAACCTAGATATGTATATGAAAAACTCATCATGAAGCGTTCGAGCTGTGTACAGGGAGTCCAGCTATAAATTGATCCCCCGCTAACTTTATTATACAAAATTCTGGAAGAAAAGTTGAATATAAAAATTATAGTGTATAATACGAAGTTTGTCATGTAATATTTTTTTTGTCTCAGAAAAGTGCTATCGAATAAAGTTGTCCTTTTTGTCTATTTTCAGTGAAAGTTAAATACAGTTAAACTTATTTTCATTACTTTAGTCAAAACCTTGATGTTTGTGCGCAATATAATCATATGTATTCCGTCCCTACAGCAGATTGCATAGGCGGCTAGATACGGACTGGTTCGAACTCGGATACACATAAGTAAATGGTACACAAACTTTAAGTTTTTGGTTATAGATAAAAAAGTTAGTTAGTTTATGTCTACGAAAATTGAGCTCTACACATGATGTTTCGGTCTGTTTACTTATCTTATATGATATTGATGACGTAACTCGAAAACCCATGAAAAGACCTGTGCTTCTGATAAAGATGTTTAATATGTTTTTGTCACTTAACTTTTATTGTCAATTGATCGTTTTTAAAACTGTATTTTGTTCCAGTGGCTGGCAGTTGATCTCAGGAATGTCAAAACGAAATACACGGCAATATGATAATAACATTTATATTCAAACTGTGACATATTTATTACTATTTTATACAATAACCCTCTAATTTGCGATCTGGAGCTCTATTGAAATATCACAAATGTATTTATTTTCTGTTTTTATTGCGTATAAATTTTTTACTACTAAATGTGTTTTGTTATGTGTCTCCTTTCAAGCCAGTGCTTCCCCCCATTGAAATTCAAGATTCTTCAAAAAAATTGGTACGGACTGTCTATCCAGTAATATTTCAAAATTCCCCGTATCCACAAATGACACAATTCTGACGGATCCGTCAATGCCAGGTAGACAGAACCGTATTTTGTTTTGGTTTTTTGTACGCTACAGATTCATTTTGTACTTGCTATCAATTCTTATTTAGAAAAGTTCATTTGCATACATAAAACTCAAAATTATACAGGCAGCAATTTTAGAATGCATTTTTTACCGTACAAAGCTTCCTGTAATATGAAATGCCATCAGAACTGCTGCAATCGAGTGCATGAGTCACGCCCCAGTAGGGTTTTCGATTGAGACTTACGGGTATGTTTTACCCGATGTTTTGAAACGCATGCTTTGGTTCCTTTTCTGTTCTATAGCGTTTTCTCTGGTGCGATATACGTGATTAGTCAGAAGATCCTCAGTTCCGACCAGGAGTTTCTGACTTTCATTGACCGTAAAGTACGGTCCTCCAAACAACTTAATTATACCTGTATTATGATGTAACCTAATTATGGACTAAACTGTTCTGGTCCGCTGTGAATCGCATTTCGGGACTGGAAGAAACTTATTGATTGGAAAGAACTCCGTGATGGTTTGTCGAGTATGGTCAGTTAAACACTGCAACTAGTATCATCATGATTTTGGGGAAATAAACTTTGTCTATTGGGCCCCCAAAAAACAGCGTTGGGAGTCCCCGCCGACGTAAAGTGGGTCATCTCAGATACCGTTCTGTTTGGGTCTATTTTTATACCTTAGCTGCGTTGTACTGTCCAGGTAAGTGGAAATTTTCGAGTGTGATATCATTTTGTCGTTATACCCTTCAATCTACACTGCACTCTAGAGTGGGGAAAGTACAGGGTGCGGCAGAGAGAACGGACGTTTTTGGGATGGGTAGTACTCTCCGCCTCCGTCTACGAGAGAGGTGGGGAGGGTGCCGTTTGACTCGTGAGATCCTAGCATTATTTTACTAGTTGTCGTTATGGAGCCTTGGACGGTGGAGCACCGCGTTTTCGCCTATGCTTGTTTCGTCCGAAATAATGAGTCAGTCATCGTCGTACAGCGTGAGTTTCGTCGCCACTTCAACATTCATCGGAATAGAGCTGTTCCCTCTCGAAACACCATCCTTCGTTGGGTTGAATCACTTCGCAGGCGTGGTGAACAGATCAACAGAACACCAAAGGAGCGCCGCGAACAGTTCGAACTCATGAAAATGTTGAACGCGTTCGTTCGACAGGTCTTTCTTTGCAGTCCGACTCGATCTGCCCGGAAACATGCTGCTGCACATCGCCTTAGTGATCGTTCGGTAAGGCGAATTTTGCATATGGATCTCCGCTTTCACCCCTACAAATTGGCCATTGTGCAACAGTTACAGCCCGGAGATTATGCACAACGAATGAACTTCGCACTTGAGATGGAAGCACTGATCGATCAAAATGAGTACATTTTGTATATGCGTGACGAAGCCCACTTTCACCTAAACAGCATGGTTAACCAGCAGAATTGTCGTTATTGGGCTAATGAAATTCCGCAACAGTACATGAAAGACCGATGCACAGCCCAAAAGTAACGGTTTGGTGCGCTGTATCGCAAACTTGCACCATTGGCCCTTACTTCTTCGAAGACGGTAATGGTCGTGATGTTACCGTGAACTCAGAGCGCTACGTCGACATGATCACCAACTTCTTTCTCCCTGAATTACGACGGCGACGTGTTCCAATCCGACGTGTGTGGTTCCAGCAGGACGGGGCGACCGCCCACACAGCCCGAGCATTCATGGACGTTATTCGCCCTCTCTTCCCTGGTCGCCTTATTTCCAGGCTTGGCCTCCTCGGTCCCCAGATTTTTTCTTATGGGGACACCTCAAGGCTAGAGTATACGCGAACAAGCCCCGAACTCTGGACGAATTGAAGGGCGAAATTCGCCCGAGTTGAGAGAGCGATGTTGGAGAGAGTCTACGCGAACTTCCAAGAACGCCTCCAGCACTGCATCAACGATTTCGGCCACCACATGCCCGATGTGATTTTCCACACTTGACTGTCTCAAATGCTATTTCCTTGTGAACCTGATTCCATCAGTAAATTTGTTTTCGAGTAAAAATTAACTATTTTATGATTTTTTTAAAACCGTCCATCCTCTCTGCCGCACCCTGTATAATATCTCCGGTGTGTCTTATATGCGCACCGATGTGGATAATTTGTTTCTTGGGAGTCTCATAAATGCTTATCAACTATAAGATGTTGAATAAACATCTGCCTGACAACTATTCTAGTGTCTGCTCAGTCATGATAAACACGTGCGTGTTCACATAATGGGCTTTTATACAGGGTCTCCAGCGGGAAAGTTCACTTTTTGATTTAAGAAAAAAAAATACAAACTTGATGAAAAGAAAATAGTTATTACCATCAACATATTCGTAAATTCGGCGGGTTTTATTTCTTAAATATCATTCCGTCCAAATGTTTGCGATCCCTTCGGACACGCTGTTCTAATCGCGCGCGCAAATTCTGAAACACTCTCTCCGGAGTGATGTTTATTTCTCGTCGAATGTTGTCTTTAAGCTCCTCCAGTGTTCGTGGATTATTGGATTACACTTTTGACTTTAGATAACCCCACAAAAAAATAATCGCATGGTGTGAGGTCGGGTGACCTAGGAGGCAAAACTTCGATATAACTTTTTGAGGAAAAAGTGCTTTCACAGTGTCCATCGATTGGAAGTATAGGTAGTGGCCCCATCCTGTTGAAACCATGGTGTTTCTGTTAAATCGACGTTCTATTCTTACAATAGGAGCAAAAAAAGTGTCAATCATGTCCTTGTATCACTCGGAATTGACTGTCAATGCATGACCGTTTTCATCTTCAAGGAAATACGGCCCAATAATACCGCTAGAGGATATGGCGCACCAAACAGTCACCTTTGGACTATGTAGCTGTTGTTGATGTTTCTCTTTTGCATTTGTTGCTGCCCAATATCTGCAATTTTTCCTGTTCACATAACGTCTAAGTGAAAAAAACGTTATCGAGTCTGCGCTACGTAGGAAAAAGATTCAACATCCGTTCAGCACAAGATTTTCGTAATACGTCATCACTTTCGTTTAACGCATGGACTGATTGGATTTTATAAGGATGAAAATCCTTTTTTTTCTTCATTATGGCATGCAGTGTTGACCTAGGGATTCCCAAAGCAGCGAAATGATTCCGTACAGAACGCTGAGGATTTGCAATGACCGAATCACTTACTCGACGCAAATTTTCTTCGGTTGATACAGTAGGTGTGGGGCTAGGAATGGGTTGGCTAAGAGTATAGACCTGTTTCTACGGGACCTCTTAATCCACTTTTTCAATAGGTTTTTTCTTGGGCATCTCTTGGTCGGCGAATATTGTATCGTGTACAAAATTTCCCAAGGGCAGCTGCGTCTGAATCACCACTCTTAAAGTAAGCCTCGATAGCAAAAGCACGTTGCGCTCCGGTCCAACGTTCCATTGTGACTATTTAACCCGCACGCCGAACGCGTCGATCAAGACCTCTCGCCAATTCCTCGCGTATACGGTTGCCGCGTAATTCAAATTTGAAATGTGAACTTTCCCACTGGACACCCTGTATATTACTAGTACTATACAACTCCAGTTTCACAGGGACTGGATCAAGGCAACTGTGGATCAGTGTTCCTCAGTACGCGATTGTACGATTTGATAAAACGGGGGTGTAAGAATAGGTGTTATAGCCAAACGTCGCAATTAAGCTGTTCACTAACTTCATTATAGGTAATACAGGTGTTATCTAAAATTTGTTTCTAATAAAAAAACTATATTATTATAATTTACTACGTAATAAAAAAAAATCATCAGGGGCTACAATTTTATAGCCGGGTATTCCTCATATTTCACTTACCCCGTATAAGCAGGAAATAACGAGTACATCTACTTAGCTGCATTTTTTCCGAGCATATCTTAACAGATACAAAAAGCCCCTTTACCGAAACAATTACACAAATTTGATGGCGAACAAAAGAAGATCAACCAACCAAAACCCACTATATAGCGTCACACAATAGAAGCGGCTCAGTTGTTCCAGGCATCTATACACGCTAAAACGAGAAATAATCCAAATATAAAAGAATATATACAACATGCTCCAAAGATCTCCACGTTTTTGCGACCTGCTACCTAATTACGGTCATCACTACATGATGCCCCCATTTGTAGTTCAGATCCTGTTGATTGGCACGGTGATGGTGTTTGCAGTGATGGTGATTGGTTTTTTGGTGATCCTGGACCGAGCCAAGTTGACTGGAATAGTGAGAGCCAGGAATGGGCAGCTTACAATCGAAGAGATATTTGCAAGGGCATTGTCGTATTATGGGAATCTGAATAATGCCTAGATGATAATAATAGTGTGTGATATGAAAGTCAATACAAGTTATTTGAGGAATGTCAGTTCGATAAGTGTCTCCTCAGTAGTTAGTGAAAAGGTTTGTCGACCCCTTATCGGCCAATTTCAAACGCTACATGACATTTATTCTCCCGAGCTCTTGACCGAATCTACTTGGCCTCCTACGACCTTCCGCTAAGTATACATACTTTCTCACTAAAACAACTCGTGCTGATCACCTTTTTTTTACTGATGCAGCTACTTACTGAAGTACAGCCAATAATATAAGGAACTTAGAAATCTCCAATTCTTAATCTGCCCAAGGTTAGCAGAACTACAAGAACCCTCCTCAGGCAGATTATACATACAAACTCGACACCCTAGGAACAAGAGAGCGGTCGTACCTGCTCGTTCTTTACGAAGTTCGACAGGTACTATTGTTTGTTTGTTTATTTTAGCCAGTTAAATAGTTAAATACACATGTGTACATTGGCACGTCGAAAGTAAAATAAATAGGTATGAATGATGAATATAATGTAAAATATAAATAATAAATTGTA